ATTGAAACTGAGATTCTAAAATCTCAGTTTATTTTGCTCTTGCCTTTTCATTACTAAGTTAGAGTGGTACATATTTTCTTCAATGTGTATACTTTTTAATTTGGAAGAATTTCAACTTTTTCGGTAGATTTCCATATATTTTGATAAAATTGATATTTTTTATTAATATCAATCACTGTTCTTGATCTGGTCATAATTTAAGAAAGATGTTATTTCTTTAGGTTAAAATAATAAGTTATTATTTGTCACGTATAATTACATATTATACTATAATGTGAATATATTTTATATGTACATTATTTCCAAGTGGGTGGACATCTTTTAATTTATTCTGAGAATTGGGTATGTGTTTGTAATGTCTACGTTTTAAATTCAATGAGGAAAGTAATGACTCCTAATTTTGCATGTTAATACATAGTTTGCTGTCTCATCTTTTAGTTACTTCTCTAAAGAAATTGAAATCACATTTTATATATTACTTGTTAGTTATTTCCTTAGTATAATATAAGCATTTCTTAAGGTAATTAAATAATTACTTTAAAATATTTTAATGCCTGCATAGCATTATAAACATCTTTTATAGACTATTTAATGAGAGCAATTTTGTTGGCTGTTTAAATTGTTACAGTACCTTTATTTGTATCTTTAAGTTTTATGTATTTTTTTAATGATTCTATTTATTTTTAGAGAATGGGGAAGGGAAAAGAATGAGGGGCAGAGAAACATCAGTATTTGGTTGCCTCTTGCGCACCCCCTAATGGGGACCTGGCCCACAACCCAGGCATGTGCCCTGTCTGGAATTGAACCAGCGACCCTTTGGTTCACAGGCCGCACTCCAGCCAGGGCAAATTTTATGTATTTTTAAAAACACATACACATGGCGTGAAATTCAAAGGGAACCAAAGGATTTACAGGGTCTATTTCTCTCTGTCTCCCCATCTATCTTCCTTGTGAACCAACTAGTGTTACTAGTTGTTGTGTTTCTTTTCAGGGTGGCTTCTTCTTTTTTAATTTTTAAACAAATACATGTGCACTTTATTCTCTTTCACACAAATGGCTATCTTTGTTTTCACTCAACATACATGGAGATGATTCACATTACTGTATAAAAACACCTCATTAGTTATAAGGCTGCAGGATATTCTGAAATATACATGTATCAGTTTATTTAAGGAGACTAGTTATTTCTAGATATATAAGTTGTAATATTTTTAAATTAAAGCTGTACTTACTGATATTTCCTTTGTTTTTAAAGTATAAAACTCTAGAGTGTATTTTTTCCCTCACTCCGCTTCTTTGACACATGGTTTTGCTTTTCTTGGTGAAGAATGGTCCGACTGATGACTGACACTGTCTTATAGGAATTCCTGTCCCCCTTAAAGAAATGATGAACTCACTTCCTTGGGGGTTAGGGAACCAAGGATGTTAGGCATTGGAGTTGGTATTTAAGAAATCCTGAGATTGAAATCCTAACAGTACAAATATTTCACATTTTAAACAAAATTTCACATTTGTTTAAACTGTGAAATATAACACGCATAAGTCAGGAGAATGGTACTTAAAGGATTATGAAGTGAACACTTGTATGATCCCATTCAGATCAAGAAATAGAATGTTACCTGTGCCTGTGGGGCCTTTTTCATTTATAGCTCCTTGCATGCCCACTGCGATGGTCAGTTTCTTGACCATTATGACATTCGTGTTAATTATCTCCCTAACTTTATAACCTCATTATGTATTCTTAAGCAGTACAGTAAAATTGTGCTTATTTTTGGAACTCTTCCCTAATGTTTTTAGATATCTGAAAGTTTGTACCCCCAGGAACAGCCTTGAAGAGGAAGAGTCACAGAGGGTGTGTGGGAAGTGAAGGGGCAAGGAATTCTACATACGTTGTCTTAATGAAGCTTGGGGGACTCAGTCTTAGTATTATTAGGTGAACTTGAGATCTTTTTTGTACCAGGTGATGGAGCTCTATCTTCACTGTTGGCTAGGATTCTGGAACTGTGTGTGGTTTTTTGAAGTACTGCTTCCTAAGCACTTATTTGTCATGACCAGGTCATAGTTTTGCCTGGAGGTCTCTTTATATGCCCATTCCCTGTGGATTGCAGGAAAAAAAAATTTTTAAAGTCATGTTTTTTTTTTTTGTTTTTTGTTTTCCCTTTCTTAATCTGTAAAAGCATTGAAGTTTAATTGAGGGCTTTATTCATAAATGCTCGTTGTCTCATTTAGGTACCTTGGAAGCTTGAGCAAGTCAAAGTCTTTTCTGTGGTATATAGAAAAACCAGATACTGTGTGGTTTTTTATAAAAGGATAGAATTATTCTATCTAAAAAGACCATAGAAATAATTTCCAGTTAAGTTTTCTAGTTAACTTATGTAGTTAACTTATAAAATGTGTGATGCTACTTACACCACAGCCTAATACACATACAAGTTTCATAACCAGTACCTTTACTATATACAGTTACTTTGATATTGTTTATTCTGTTCTAATTTCATTAAAAATAAATGGTGATTAGGGACCTGTTAAATTGTCTGCAGGATCCTTCAGTAGGTCAGTGCTTGCAGTTGAAAATGTGCTGTGATTTTCTAGAGGAAAAAGTTGGTTCTGAGGGATTAAACTGAGTTAGGCAAACTAGAGTCATGGTGTGCTTAAGAGCATGAATTTTGGAGGACGGACGGACTTGGGCTCAGCTCCCAGCCCTGCCTCTTGCCAGTTGCAAGCCAGTAGGCATTCCCGAACTTAAGCCTTTTTTATAAAATGGAAATGGCACTTCCTACCTTGGGGTTTTGAGGATTAAATGAGAGAATGTGTGGCTATAAAGCAAGCATTAATACACACCTGTTGTTATTAACATTATTATTTGTTTCAGTACAAATTGGAGTTTCTCAGACTTTAGCTCAGTGGTTTTTGTACAGATTGCAGGATATACTATGACAGGAGTTAAGGGACAGCTTAACTAGCTCTGTGTTTGGTAACAGAACAGGTGGATGGGAATTGCTTAGCTGATCTGCTGACCCATTGGGATCAGTCCAGGTGGCTGCTGGAGTCTGTGCTTGCAAACTCTGCTAGTTTATTGTAGGAATGGGAACTGCAGAAGGTGCCAGGCAGTCACAGTGCCTTCAGTGCAGAAGAGTTGAACTTCCTGTACTTGTTCATGGGCAGGAGGTTGAAGCTAAAGTGTGTGTGTGTGCGCATGCACATGTGTAAGATCAACCCAGAAAGGCCAAAGGGCATACTCGAGGTCTGTCTGGAAAAAGTCCAGTGACATTGTTAATATGAGAACGGTTTGCGCAACATCGATGTAACGTGGCAGTCAAGGAGAGTGGACTGGAATGTGCATGCGTGAACAGTGACGACCTCACGGTACCAGTCAGTGGGGGTGGTAGATGCCATTGGGCGAGCACATGTACTGTGTGGCCATCAAATTCAAAATGACTGAATACAGCCACGAATCTGCATCACATTTTGTGTGAAGCTTGAACATTCCTTTGCAGAAACTATTTGGGTGATTCAGAAGGCTTCCAGGGATGATGCAATGAAAGCACTACAAATGAAAGTGTGACACAAACACTTAAAAGGAGGTGGAGAATCTGTTGAAAGTGACCCAACCCCTGGGAGGCCTGCAACAAGCAGAACACCTGAGAATGCTGAATGTGTACAGGCTGCAATCAACAAAGACTTCTTGCTTTTCCCAAAACTAAAATCACCTTTGAAAGGGAAGAGATTTCAGATCCTTCATGAAATTCAGAAAGATACTACAGGCCAGCTGATGGCAATTCCAATGAAGGATTTTGGAGAGTGTTTAGAACAGTGGAAGAGAAGCTGGGAGAACTGTGTGAGGTCCCAAGGTGCCTACTCTGAAGGGGTCTGAGGTGTCATTGTCCTACGTACAATGTTTCTTGTATCTTGTATCATCTTCAATAAATGTGTCTATTTTTCTTATTACATGAGTGGATACTTTCTGGACAGACCTCCTATTTTGCATCTTCATTCTACTTCCATATTTCACATTTAAAATCAGTTCCTGCCCTTCTACACCCCCCCTTTTAAAGAATGACCAGCTTTTATATTTTAAAGATTTTTAAAAAATTATTTTTGTTAGAGCAAGGAAGAGAGGGAGAAAGAGAGAGAGAGAAGAAACATCAGTCAGTTGCCCATTGCAGGGCCCGCAATCAAGGCATGTGCCCTGACTGGGAATCGACCGGTGACCTTTCGCTTCTCAGGACTATGCACAGCCAACTGAGTCACTCTGGTCAGTATGACCAGCTTTTATAGTATAGATAAGTCTGTTCTTAAAATGAATTGAAGCAAATTTGAATGTTAAAATTTAAGCAAAATTAAATGTGTATACAGTCCTGCCAGGAAGAGAAACCCATTTATTAACATTTGATGGTTTTCCTTCTAGTCTTTCCTCATGCATTAAAAAAAGTAACAAATAGTTCTTGGACTTGAAGATGGCAGGAATACCGTACATCAAGCACTTTTATAATGAAATTAAAAACTGAACTGGTTAGATAGCTCTAGGTCAATCAGTAAGATGGTAGAGGAAGGAAGACCTCATAGTGTCTGAGACTGAAAGATAGCCCTCAAATTAACCTGCTCTCTCAGGTATTTTGTAAGAAAGTATTTGACTTTAAAACGCTTCCCTACTTTTTGCTATTTCTCTGTTATTTGGTATGTACTGTGGTCAGAAGAATAGGTCATATGGTTGATAATGTTGCTAAAATTAGTATCCCATTAGATTGCTGGTAGAGTTCCTATTTTTTGTGGAATATGAAAGCTGAACTGTTTATAATAGTTCTACTAAACATATATATGCTAGTCAGTGCTTCTCAGCTGCTTCAGATTCCTGAACCAGTGAACCCACCCAGATCCTGAGAAAAACCCAAGTGTGATGCAGGAAGTTACCTAACCTCCATGGCAGTGCCTGAATGGGCCATGCTGTCTGGACATGGTGACCTAACAAGAGGCCAATCTGTTTTCTCTTTTTCCCACAGATTTTGAAGCCAGCTTCATAAGGCTGTTGGACAAAATAACAAATGGTTCTCGAATTGAAATAAACCAAACAGGTAAGCTCCTTTTCTTCCCATTCTGGAAAGCACCTACACATGCACTACTTAAACAGCCTTGTGTTTCTCACTTGTTTTGATAGTGTAAATATTGTATTCAGATGGAAAAATCCAGTTTCCTGTTTGTGATACAGTTGTTTGGAGTTATGCATGAACTTTGCCATTTTAAGGGGCATACACTTGATTTAAGGAAGTAAGAAAAATGAAAATTTCATATCAACAAACAAGCATGCTCTTTTTTTAACAGTAAAAATATTTTATACCTAACATTTACATACAACTTTTCAAAGTACATTTACTTATATTGTCACAACAGAATCTTACAACAAATTCTAGGAGGTAGTTGGATGTGCTGAATTTTATTTTTTTATTTTGTCTTTAAAAATAATTTCAATAAGTGTATGCAAAAATTATGAAAGTCCCTTCACCTGTTTCCTGTTCCATTCCCTCCCCATGTGCAGCCATAGTCACATTCGCGTGCATGGGTGGTTCTTAGACCGTCAGCAGGGTTGTGCTCGCTCTGTGTTCTGCAGCTAGCTTTTTATTTCTCACTAGCACAGATGTCACAGGTCAATTTCAGTTATTTCAATAGGCCTAATATAGTATTCTATTGTATGGGTGCATAGCAATTTATTTAACTGCTCCATACTGATAAACATTCAGGTTGTTTCTAGCTTTTTGTTTGCTCTTAGAAACCCTTTTATTTGCATTGTACAGAAACATCTTTTGCCAAGCTCCATGAACTGTGTACCTTTTTGCATATGTGCAACAAAAGAAATTCTGAACTTTCCCATATGTTGACTCTTTTAAGAAAGAAGACAAGCTTGGCTTCATAAGTGGCCTGACACCACACCAAAGTTGTCCATTGGTAGGTGCATTCAGTCGTACCTTACAGAGAGCAGGTTTTAGGCGTGAGGCTTCAAGTGCCCTTTGTAAGTTATGATTCCATTAGTTGAAATTGCTGGAGGTTTTTTTAGCACTTTATACTGGTGCTTCAGAGGGCAGGTAATCTACTCTTTTTTAGTCACGTGTGCAGCTTACACTGGGAAGTAGACATTTACATGATCGTGCTTCTGCCTCCTGTCTCCCCTGTCCCAGCACTGCCCCAGAGTAGAATACTTCATTCTGATGATCTGGTCAATTTTTCATTTGGCTGATTTGCAGACGTGAACATATTTGTGGTGTTTAGGGGTTGTGTAGCGTTTTTTGTTTTTTGTTTTTCTTTTTGACCTAAAAGATTGGTTTTGTTACTCATTAATAGTGTTTAGAATAACTAACGTAGAATGTATAAAATCTTTCCCTTGGAGAAGTGTGGGAAGAATATGATTCTGATTTTGATTGATTCTGATTGTGATTGTTGGGATTTTGGTTTTTAATATAGTACAATAAAACCTAAATTTATTCTGTGATATTCCTACGAGCAGCTTTCCTTTTGAGTGACTGAACATACCTCATTCCTTTGTTGCTAAACTTGTCTGTTGATAAATTGTGCAGAAGACATTGTAAAACATTTGACCAGCAAAAAGAGCTTGTTCACCCTTTTATATCCCCATGATACTCTTAAGAGTGTCTTACTTTGGTTTTTCTCTAATATCTTAATCTAGTAAGAAAGTTTTTGGATGATAGGAATATGTGGAGAAGTGAATTAAGATAATAAAGAGTTCCTAATAAAGCTATTAAGTAAATTTAGATACTTTCATTTGTTACTATTAAAATAGCCACTATTAACGGAATTGCCATAAAGCACCTGCTTTTTCTAGGTATCTTGTTTGGTGAGTGTGCTATATGGGAAATCTCTTTTCAGGGGCCTAGAAGAGGCTGATTCCTGGTGTGATGATTTCAGAGCATCATTTATAAACACCCTTCCTCAGCGCAGCCTGAGAATGTGCTGTTGGGGGATTAAGATGCATATTAGGATTTTTTCTCTGTGCCCTGCCATGACTTTGGCAGTTCAGATTGTTTAGGGAAGGGCTTAATTTATTACTGTTTATTAAATTATACTCAGTTTATTATTACTACAGGAGCTTGACAGTAATGATTCAGCTTTTGGGTTGAAGCGTGGGCCCTTAGGAATGGCATTTTGAGCTCTCCTGGATACCTATGTCCGACTCACCTTGGGACTCACTGTGTTCACTACTTCTGTTTTTTTAATTTTTAATTTTTTAAACTTACCTATTTTTAGAGAGGGAGAGGAATGGGGAGGGGGAGAGAGGAAAAAAACCCATCAGTTTGTTGTTACACTCATTTATGTGTTTATTGGTTGACTCCTGTGTGTGTCCTGACGGGATCAAACCTGAAACCTTGACACATTGGGACAGTGCTCCAACCCACTCAGCTGAGCTACCTGGTTAGGGTCCCTTTGTCTTTTTTGTGAAACGGATTATTTTTCCCGCTGAATGTGGCTCTCTTTTCTGTTGTGTAAGGAACAACCTTGTATTATCAGCCTGGCCTCCTGTATGGTGGATCTGTGGAACACGACTGCAGTGTCCTCCGCAGCATTGGCTATTACCTGGAGAGTCTTCTTTGCCTGGCTCCGTTTATGAAGCACCCGCTGAGAGCAGTTCTCCGAGGAGTGACCAATGACCAAGTTGACCCTTCAGTGAGTAGAGGGGCCAAACCATGGTGTGATTTTTGTTTTGTGTCTTGTCACAACCTAACTTTGAGAAACAAGTTCCTGATAAAGCACAGGTTTATTGTTGAGTGTTGTGGTATTGTTGTTGTTGTTTACCTTGAGATTTAGAGATGAATCACTCCAGGATGCAAATAAAACAAGATTCGTAATTAGTCAAATTCAGTGATGATTGGTACCCCTCATCAAGGTGCCTTTCATTGTCATGCCTAAGAACCTTCACAACAGATGCTTGCAGACTCGTCATGGTTGACATGAAATATGGCACCGTTGGTTGAAGTGTGTGAGAGAGGAACTTTTGTAAGGTCATATGATAGCAGAGGCTGGAAAGTAGACCAAAATTTTAGACAGAAAAGAATGTCTTCTTGGCGACATTGCAGCATAATCATGACTTATTCGGGCTTCAATCATGAATGTTAGGACATTCTTCATCTGAGAAGAACTTGTATGTAGATTTAGAAAAAAGGCATAGAGACAGGGATGGTATATGTGAGCTTTGATAGTTCGTGGGCACCAGCAACCTTGCTACTAAGCCGGCTACTTTTACTGCATGTGTGGGGAGGATAGTTTATTCAGGTGGAATTTTCATTGTAGCCACCGCAACTGTCTTAGAGTCAGTATAGGATGGGGGGGGGGGGTGTGCGTGTGTGTAAGGGGGGCGATTAGAGCAGTCCTGTTGCACATGGACACCAGAGAGAGAGAGTGATTGAGATTAGAGCAGTCCTGCCCAGACCTGCCTCAGACCTCTCATGTGGAGGGAAGGATCCGCACCTTTGGATGCTCTGCTGTCCAGAAAAGGGATCTCAATGCCTAGGGCCATGACATGAAGTCCAGGCTGAGAACTCTTTATCTTTACCTCTACTGACAGGGAATTAAGACTGATGAAGGGTCAGCAATATTGTAATAACTATGTATGATACCAGGTAGGTACCTGAAATATTAGGGGGACCATTTTGTAAAGTGTATGATTATCTAACCACTATGCTGTATACCTGAAACTAATACAAAATACTGTTGAATGTAAACTGTAATTGAAAAAGTTTTTTAAATTTACAAAAAAAATACCAAAGCAAACAAACAAATAATGAAAGGGTGGCTTCTTAAGGCAGAATGTGAAGTGTGTAACTTTTCTAACGAGGGAAGAACAGTTAGGTGGTTCGGTGAGCCCCAAAGTGGAAAGTGCTGGTATTCAGCAATACACTTATTAGAGTATAAACCTAGTTAATATGTATTAGAGAGTAAAAGACTTACTTCCCAATTCTTGGGAATTCAAGTATATAAACTCTTTTCCAGGAATCCGAGTGCAGTGCATGATCTGAAATTCTTAGCTGAAAAGAAATGTTGAATAAACTGTTTAGAATTTTAAACTAATTTCAGAGGATTGCTTTTTTCCCCCCTGCACTTTCTGGAAGAATCAAAGAAATGGGCACTTGAGTTAAAAGTGTTCTTAAGGGGAGGCCTTTACACTTGTAGATAGAGGCGCAGCAGTGGAGGGGGGGAGGAGAGGCCCTGAAGCACAAGGGAGACTTTGGCCCTGTGTGTCCCAGTTTTGTACTCTTTCTATAGTTGCTAATGATCTTAAAAGCTGTTATCACTGGCAACATTAAAAAAGATTTTATATATTAACAAAGACTAGTTGATGAATTCCCCAAAAATAGTATCAATACTTAACTCATTTACCCATAGTATTATAAAAGAAATCTGTTTTCCTATGTTACAGGACTATCTGCTTTTGCTAGCTGCAAGACTAAAATGACCTTCGGGAGTTCTTGGCTCCAACCCAGGATAAAATAAATGTACCTAATCTTGGATAAAGAGTAACTTTTTCAGCCTTGGTTCCAACCCAGGATAAAATAAATGTACCTAATCTTGGATAAATAGTAACTTTTTCAGCCTGTGGCTCCTTCATTTGGAGCTTTCTTTTAATAGTAGTTTCCCCATCTGCTCTCTGCACCAGGATGAATATGATGAGTTCCGCCCTTAGGGAACTCAGCCTCAGTGGGTGGACGGTGTGAAAACATCTGGGGAGATTACAAGGCTGAATACCTCTGGGCTCTGATAGAGGTAATAGCAAAGTGCTGAGGGTCCAGGAGGGTTTTCTAGAGGAAGGGAAACCACAGAATCAGTCTGGTTTTTAGGGAAGATAACTCTGGAGGCTGAGAGAAGGATGAATTGAAGTGGGGGTGCCAGTTAGTTTGAACATAATGGAGATGGAAGTAAAAAGGAAGGGACAGATATGAAGGATGGTGTGGAAGGGAAACTTTATAATTTGACAGCCAGTTGGAGGTGTGATAGGAGGGAGTATCCATAAAATAATTCCATGTTTATGTCCTGGTTGACTTGAAGGCTAGAGATCAGGAAGTTTGACACAGGAAAGAGGAAAATTGTGGTTGGATGAAGGGTGACATGTTTGATTTTTGATCCTGTTCCCTAGTAGATTAGGAGGATATCCACATGCAGCTGTCTAGTTGGCCGTCGGAAATTACTATCCAGAGCCTCAGAGACAGGTCATTAGTATCTTACCTACTGAAGTTAAATCCGTAGGAGAATGAGATGGACCAGGGCTGAGGTTGAACACTGACAGCTTTTTGGCTGAGTTAATCCTGCTGGTGTTTTTCCTCTGGCCTGCACAGTGTGCTAATGTGTGTATCTGAATTGAATATTCATGTTTGAAACCCAGATTTTACATTATAGTAGGTTGATGGGGCAGCACTGGATGGCAGTTCTTCCCGGACAGCCACCAGCTGGAGCTGAGTAGCAGCTGCCCTCATTGGAAAAGGCTTGAGCTCCAGTTAGCTGGAGGTCTTAGCTAATCTCATCATCCATTTAAATACCCTTTGTGGCCTGTGTTGAGCATTAGAGTTTTTGCCCCTTGATCATCCCAGGGAATGAGAATAGAAGAGGAGGAAATGAACGTTTAAGATACGAGCAGGGGAAAAGGAGCTGTAGACAGTGACTGTGGAGATAGAATGCTTGGCAAAGCCAAGGAAGAGTTGGGTTATGAGAAGCCAGGGAGGACCCAGAAAGGATCCAGAGAGTCAGTGTTTTCAGGAGCCGATTTAGGGTTGAGCAGGGAGATTGAGCAATGACAAGTTTTACTGACCTTTGAGAGAGCAGTGTCATTGGAGTGTAAGGACAGTCACAGGTTGAGGAATGAGTAAGAAAGAGAACCACAGAAAGTTAGGTGATACAGGTTATATACTGATTCCTGAAGAGATGACGTTGGAAATATCTTTTTAAATGAGAAGAGGCTTGCGCTTGCTTGTGGGCTGCAGAGATGCTGTAACAGAGAAGAAAGAATTTAAGGAGTTGGGGGATTTAATGAAGGTAATGCCGGCAGAAGTCCGGGGGGATGATCACTGATAACAGAAGTGGTGCGCTGAGCCACCTCCCCTCCAACAGCCTGTGTGGTGGGCATCGGCAGGAGTATTAAGTTGTTGAATAATGTTTTTGGTTTTCTTTGGCTTTAGAGTGCCATACGCTTTAAAGGTAGACTTTTCCCCCCTCCTCAGAGACAAAAGGATAGAAAATGAGAAGCAAAATTCAAGGATGTTTCCTTTTGAATCTCAGTGATTTGGCACCAGAACCTCCTGTAAATATTTATTGGTGCCAACATCCCTGTCAGGTGATGCGTGAAGATTCTATTCTTTTTCACTCTGGCCCTGGAACGGGAATGAAGTACAATAATCTATGGGCTGGGCCCTGTTCTACTGTATAAAATGTATCCACATTTACCCAGTTCTTGTGCAAACGATGAGGCGGGTGTTCTTGTCACTGTTTAAGACAAGGTAACAGAGCAGTTTCTTCCCTTCTATTTGTCATGGATCTGATGACATCTCTACTTGCTGGTTCACTGACAGAACTTGTCAGGATGACTGACACCTTTGTCCTGGGGGGTCAGCCTTTTGCTTTTTCTCTCTTAACCACAGAGTGACTGCTTAGTTTCCCTTAAGGAGTCACTTAAGGGAAGCCTGCCCACCCCTACTCTGCTAAAACTAGTGTGCAGAGCTGGAGGGGACTGGAACATGTCCAGTCCAGCCCCTCATTTTACACAGCAGGAAGTCAGGGCCCTGGGGAGATAGGGAAGTGTCCAGGTCTCACAGCTAGTAAGAGGCAGAGTGGGACTCAAGCCTACACATGCTCTTCCAGCCCTCGTCCCACCACAGCGAGTTGCGTGCCCTCGTTTATGTCAGGTGGAGAGTGATTTAGGAGACCGGACCACACCAGGAGTTGTACCTGGGCTTCTGGCTGACCCTCAGAGTAAATCTGACTTTATCCTGTGTGACTCCAGGTACAGGTAGGATGAGCTAGAAAGACAATTCTGTTTTCTTGCCTTTCTTGTCCCCAGGGGAGCTGGTGGCTACCCAGTTCCAGGGAGTCATGTAGATAGAGTAACCCACATCCTTGTATCCCCCTGGTTTTTCCAGAATCTGGCTTGGCTGTCTCCCTAGCTGCCCTCAATACTAGCCTAGACAGAATTCTTCTTGGTTCTGGCAATCTCAAGTGCATTTTTTTTAGTATTTGGGTATGTTTAACTTTAATATGTAGGTTGAAATTAGCTAATCTTCAATCGGTTTTCCTAGTAACTGCCTCTGCCCCATGTGATCCATTCTCAACATGTTCATAGGCTTCATAGGTCATTTCTACCTCAGGTTCATTTTCTGATAGCAGAATATTTAATGGGGGCCTATTCTCTGCTGTAAAGCCTTACTGGAGAATCATTCTGTTGAATCTTAGCATGTTTCATGGCATGTTAGGTAGAAACTTGGAGACACACGGTCTGAGACCCTTACTTAGAGACAAAGAGATTCAGACAGTTGGGATTTTCTTGTCTGAGGCCATGCAGCTCTCTGGAGGCAGAGGCAGAGCCAGAGCCAAGACCAGCGCTTCCCCCCATGCCCTCTGCTCGTGCTGCCTGCCCTCCCTGCCTCCTGCTAGGGTCAGCCCCTAAGGTAGTGAGGAATGGCCCTTTGCCCGTTGGGAGCAGGTAAGGGAATAATTTCTTTCCCATGTTGCAGTTGAGGCAGCACTGACTGACTTGTTAGATCAGTGTGATTTGAATGTCATCCGTACACTCTGAGGATTCCACAAACGAACGAGAAAGGACCCCAGGCCTCTTGTGAGTTTCAAGAGGGGAGAAGATAGCAGTAATACTTGGCGCAGGCTTGCCATTCACTGTGCAGTTGTGGGTTGGTGCTGCTTCATGTAGTTTGAAGTGATCACTTCCCCGCCGCTGCCCTCACTTTCTTCTGGAACCACCAGCTACCCTTTAACTTCCTGTGTGGAGGGCATCAGCAAGGTTCTTAAGTAGCTGTTGAATTTTTTTTTTTTCCTTTGCCTTTGGAGTGCCACAAGCTTTAAAGATTAAACAACTGTGTTGGGAAAAGATTAATACAAAAATACAATATTTTTTCTGAAACATTTTCACCTAAAAAAATGAGCAGGGGTCCCAGTTTGTTTTCTGTATGAGCCCGACAGATTCTTATGCTTTTTGCTTGATGTTCATGATGATGACTTCTAAGGCAGGTGTAAGTCTCCATGTCATACGTGAGGAAAGGGGCCCAGGGGAGCCAGTGGCTTATAAAAGCCCCGTTTTACTTGGGAACAGTCATTCTGTGCCCTTAGCTGTAAGTCAGCGTCCTTTCCCTTTACCAGATGACACATCATCTGCCTGGTTGGTATGCCTCAGCCTTCTTCATGAGCTCTTTCCCATTTGCTCAAGTTTTAATGAAACTTTTTCTTTTAATTCTGAAACAATTCTACAGGTTGATGTTCTTAGGGCAACAGCCCTCCCTCTTTTGAAACAGTTTGGAATTGATGGTGAATCACTTGAACTAAAGGTAAGAATATATGAATTGTTATCTGGATATGTGTATATCTTTGTAAACCATTTTCTTACCAACTCATTGGAAGAGCTGTATGACTCTGTGTGTGTGTGTGTGTGTGTGTGTGTGTGTGTGTGTGTGTGTGAGAGAGACACACACACACACATGCATTTGAAGTCACCATTTCTTACAAGATCCACAGGACATGGACCAAATATTACAGATTTTGAGCTGAAAGGGACCTTTTAGGAATGACAATAGTAGCCAACAGTTGTATTGCACTACATTTTTGGAAGGCACTTTGCAAACATTCTACACATGTTCTTTACTCCTCATAACAAATCTATTTGTGTCACTCAGCTAATAAGTTGTGGAGCCAGGATTCTAGCCATAATGCCTGTCTAATCTAGATCATCTAGTTATAATTTATGTCCGGAGTCTTTCAACTTGGATGCCTCTTAGAATTCCGGAGTCTTTCAACTTGGATGCCTCTTAGAATTTTCAGTATTTTCAAAACCTAGTAGAAGGAATATAAGCATCTGTTTGTTTGCACTTGAAAGGAATTACATCAAGTTACTGTGATAACGCTGGATGTCATAAGCTATTTAGCATCCTTTTTAAATTGATTTTTTAAAAAAGATTTATTTATTTATTTTTAGAGAGAGGGGAGGGGTGGGAGGAGGGCAGGGGTGGGAGAAGGGGAGGGACACATCAACGTGTGGTTGCCTCTTGCATGCCCCCCACTGGGTACCTGGCTAGCAGCCAATGCATGTGCCCTGACTGGGATTCAAAACTGCAACCCTTTACTTCGCAGGCCAGCACTCAGTCCACTGAGCCACACCAGCCAGGGCTAAATCAATTTTTTAAACAGGGAAAATGACTATTTTTAATATAGTCATGCATTGCATAATGATGTTTTGGCCAAAGACAGACCACATATACAACGGCAACTCCATAAGATAATGGAGCTAAAAAACACGTATCACCCAGTGATGTAGCTGTCATAACATTGCAGTGTAACACATTACTCATATTTATGGTAAGATTGGTGTAAACAAACCTACTGCACTGCCAGTCATATGAAAGTATAACATGATTATGTATAATACATATTACTTGATACTGGTAATAAATGACTGTGTTACTGGTTTATGTACTTATTATACTATGCTATTTATTATAGAGTTCACTCTTCTTATAAAAAAAGTTGGCTATAAAACATGCTGTGTTACATTGGCAGCAGCCTTACATATCATATTTACCACGTCTCATCATTTTCTTTTGTGCATGATTCAGTCTCATGTTGTTTTGTTCATCATGGCCCCTCAGCAAACAAAACCCACTGTAAATATTGCCAGTAAGAAACCATGTTGAGTGATTGACCTGGAAACAAATTAAAAAGTGATTAAGGACTACACAGGTAGAGAATCAGTGATGGTTATTGCTTGCCATCAGGCACATTCTGTTCCACCATAGCTATGATCTTGAAGCAACAAAACAAAATGACGGATGCTATTAAAGGGTCTGCTTCATTAAAGGCAATGAAACTAACAAAAATTATAGGAGGGCCTATATCAGGCATGGAAAGACTTCTAATGACCTAGGTTGAAGACCAGACGCAGTTGTTCAACCCTCTCAGCACTGCAACGGTCTTGGCGAAAGCAAAAAGTGTGTTTGCGATGTTGAAAGAAGGGGCTGGGCTCGGTTATGATGTTAATTTATTGCTAGCTTTGGGTGGTTTAAATGATTCAAGAATGGTTATTCATTATAGTGTGAAAATGAGTGGTGGATCTGCAAGTGCCACTGTGAAGGGAGCTGAAGAATTTGGGGACATTCTAGATAAGCTGATTGTGGAGGAAAATTACTTGCAGCACAAATAATCAGTGTGGTTTGAACCTCCCTATTCTGGAATCAGATTCCTGAAAGGACTTTGCATCCATAAGGAGGCCAAGTTGTGCCAGGTTTCAAGGCTTTTAAGGGCAGGATAAGTCTTGCTTGAGGGCAATGCTGCAGGCTACCAGCTGAAACACTTTGTAGCTGGCACACAATGAGAACCCACGGGCCTTTAAACCTATCAGTACGTGCACCCTGCCACTGTACTACAGGATTGTTAAGGAGTCATGCATGACCCAGCTCTGCTTCCAAGATACCCTCCTGAATTACTGTTGTCAGTAAAATGTGACAGTACTGTTTGGAGAATTACATCCCTTCTAAGATGTTGCTTATTGTTGACAGTGCTCCTGGACAGCCTCCTTTTATTGGTGATCTTTATCCCAATGCCACAGTGGTGTTTATTGCTCCAAACACCACCTCTTTGAACCAGTGGATCAAGGAATTATAGCAGCTTTTCAGGCCTACTCCCAGAGGAGGACTGAGGAAGTCCTCCTCTGCAACTGAGGAAGACACTGGTGTAATTCTTCCTTCCTACATTATCCACAACTGCATCAAGAACCTTCCTTGGGCTTGGGGTAATGTCACCAAGAAGACACTCAAGAGGTTTGTCCATGACTTCAGAGGAGTTTCCAAGGCTGGGAGGTTGTCAAATCAGCAAGGCTGTGGTTGAGATGGCCAACAATTTTAACTATGGTATGAATGAGGCTGACACTGAGGAGCTCCTAGAGGTAGTTCCTAAGAAATTGTCTAATGAGTTTTTGGAACCAGGACAGGAATGCATATCTGAAGAAGAGGCAAGAGAAGAGGAAACTGCAGGAGAAGGAAGGGAAGATTTCACAGTGAAGGATTTAGCAGAAGCTTTTGTAGGACTTAAAGTCTCCTTAAGAAATTTGAAAACCTTGACCCCAATACTGAAAAGGTTTCAAAATGGAGGATTCTTCGGGGTACATTATCTGCTTACAAGTCAACCTATGCTGATAAAAAGTAAACAAACCAAGAAAAATGACCATGGAAATATTTCCTCAGGAAGAGCCTGAGGGCAGGTCCTTCAGGAAGTACTCCAGAAGGAGGCATAGTTATCATAAGAAGATGACAGCCCAATTTGTGTTATTTCCCCCTGAAGACCTTCCAGTGGGACAGGATGTAATGTTGAAAGACAATAATGTGGATGACCCTAACCTTGTATAGGCCTAGGCTAAAAGCTTATAGAATGTGGATATAAAGAAAGAAGGAAAATATTTTTGTACAGCTGTACACTGTGTTTTAAGCTAAGTCTTATTATAGTAAGTTGAAAAAAGTTTATAATGTGAAATATTAATTTAAAAATTAAAATTTTATTTTTAATTTTTTTACTTTGTATTTTTTATTATTTTTTAAATTTATAAATCATATTTATTCTATTACAGTTGCTTCAATTTTTACCCCTTTACACTCCTCACCCATCCCACCCCCAGTCCCTACTCCCACAGTCAGTTACCACTGTTGTCCATGTCCATGGGTCATTCATACATGTTCTTTGTCTAGTCCCTTCCCCTTCTTTTCACCATTGTCCTCTTTCCCCATCCCCTCTGGTCAGTTTCAGTCAGCTTCATGTTTCCATGCCTGTGGTTTATTTTGTTCGTTAGTTTATTTTGTTGAATAGAGTCCACTTATAGGTGAGATCATATGGTATTTGCCTTTCATCAACTGGCTTATTTCACTTAGCTTAATATTCTCCAGTTCCATCCATGTTGTCACAAAAGGTAGGAGTTCCATATCTCTCTCTCTCTTTCTTTCTTAAATGCAGATTGATTTTTTAAAAATTTTTTTTAAATTTCAAAGTTAATTATAAAATCTTAAAAAAAATTTAAAACCATTAAAAAGTCTCAGCACTTAAACCAACATGACACCAGCACAGAAATAATCAAGTAGATCAATGAGCATTCTAGAGACAAACGTATGTATCTAACAATATATGATTAAGTTGATACTTCAGATCAATGGGTAAAATAAGACTTATTCAACAAATAAGGTGCATGGACCACCATTACTTGAAATAAAACAAATACAGAGCCCTAGTTCACACATTATACAAGAAATATTCTGGTGAGTTTAAAATCAATATGTAGAATCTACGGAGATTTAGGAGAAAATACAAAATTATATTTTTCTTACCCTGAAGTAAAATATTCAAATCCAGAAGCTATAAATACTGACAATAAGACTATATTAAACATTTAACTATATAGTAATATACATATAAAAAAGTTAAAGGACAAGGAATACAATAGAAAAGTATTTGCAACACATCTAAAACATAGTTAATAGGGTGGGGTTTTTTTGGGTTTTTTTGGTTTTTGTGTTTTTTTTTTTTTTTAGGGAAAGAAGTCCTACAAACCTTTAATCAATAAATGGATAAAGACTACCAAAAAGTCATTTAAAGCCTTTAAAAAAAAAATAGAAATAGGCAAGAAATATACTAAAACAGGTTTAGTTTCAACAAATAGTAAAGGAACAATTAAAATAATATTGTCACAATCAGATTAATATGTATTAAAAATATTGGTAATATAAAGTATTGGCAACTATGAAAGGAACTGGGTATTCATAGAAACTTTTTCTTCATCATATAGCAGTCCCTTTAGCGTGTCTTGCAATGCTGGTTTGGTGGAGGTCTATCAGCCTTCTTTTGTCTGGGAAACTCCTTATTTCACCTTCCATTTTCATTGAGAGCCTTGCTGGGTAGAGCATTCTATTTGCAGGCCTTTGCTTTTCATGACTTGGAATATTTCTTGCCATTCCCTTCTGGCTTGTGTTTCTGTTGAGAAGTCAGCTGCTAGCCATATCGGGGCTCCCTTATATGTTACTACCTCTTTCTTCCTTGCTTGCTTTAAGATCCTCTGTTTGTCTTTCATATTTGCCATTTTAATGATGACATGTGTTGGAGTGGGCCTCACTGGGTTCCTCTTGAATGGGACCCTCTGTGCTTCCTGGACTTGTGTCACTTTTTCTGTCCTCACATTAGGGAAGTTTTCCATCATTACTTTTCCAAACAGGTTCTCTATCCTTTCTTCATCCTCTTCTTCTTCTGGTGCCCCTATTATACGGATATTATTATGTTTCAGGTTGTCCTGCATTTCCCTCAACACCTCTTCATTCTTTTTGAGTCTTTGCATTTTCTTGCTCTTTCTGGCAATTGTTTTCTACCTTGTCCTCCAGCTCCCTGATTCGATCCTTGGCTTCATCTAGTGTGGTTTTGATTCCTTCTACTGTGTTCTTCAATTCAGAAATTGTATTCTTCATTTCCTCTTGCCTCTTATTGGTAGTTTCTGTGTCCTTTTTCATGCTGATGTAGTTTGCAGTAAGTTCCTCATAGTTTCCCTGTAGTTTTTTGTAATTCTCTCCGAGCTCACTGAGCTCATTGAGCTTCCTTAGAACCATTGTTTGGAACTCGATATCTGATAATTTACTTGCCTCTATTTCATATAGTTCTCTTTCTGGGGATTCCTTCTTTTCCTTTCGAGTGGGGGTCTCTCTTTGTCTTTCCGTTATTTGTGAGACTCTTCTCTTTTGCTTCTGCTTCTTACGTTGATCTGTCTTGATTTCCTGACTTTGTGGTATGAACTTCTATGGTAGGAGACCGCTCTTTTTACTTTCTGGATCTGCCTCTGATGATGTCAGATGTTGACCCTGTCTGACCTTAGGCAGTCTGTTCGAGACCTCCAGGAATCTACTGTTTGTGGCTGTCTCCTTCAGGTGTTAATCTATTCACTCTGCACTCAGCAGGCTGCCTTAGACAGCTCAGGGTGGGACGGAGTCCCTCCTGGAGGTGGGGTTATTGGGTCCTCTCATGCTTCTGCCATGGGGGAGGAGTCCTCACTGGGGTCCCGCTGGCTACTCTCTCCATTCTCTCCCCAGCGCCTCAGTCCGCAGTCTCTTCTCAAGTGTCTCCAGACTTCTCTGTACCCGCTTTAGCCAGAGATCTACTGTCTGTGTCTGCCACTCTGCACTCAGCAGATGGCTTTGGCAGCACAGGGCAGGGTGGAATCCCACCTGGGGGCGGGGCTATTGGGTCCTTTGATGCTGGTGCCGCTCAGGGGCAGTGGTCTCTGCCTGAGCAAGATGGCTGCTGCCCTGTGAGGGATGAGTCAGCACTGAGATCCCGCAGGCTACTCTCTCTGTTCTCTCCCCAAAGCCTCCTTCCCCAGTCTCTCCTCAGGCGTCTCTAGACCACTCTCCCCCGCCTTTGCCAGAGACCAGGGTAAGTGGCTGCAAATAAAAATTTATGTGTTGGCCCTTTAAACAGTTCTTTGCATCACCAGCTGCCTGTTTCTGGCAGAGAGCAACCCTGCCGCTTTTCGCAGCTGGCTGTTTGTACTCTTTGGGCTCTGGTGCTGTAGGCTAGAGATCCCTGCTTTTGGTTCAGACCCTGCTCTTCTCAGTGGGATCCCACTGGCCGTTTCAGTATCCTTCTGGTGCTGCCGCCCGTGGGTTCCCTGCCTGCCTTCTCAGGTCTGTACTGCAGTCCTTACCAGTTAGGTTGTGCTAAAGCTGATTCTTCTGTCTCGGAGGTTACAAGGCTCCTCTCTCGCCATTGTTCAGTTGTTTGTTCCAGGTGATTTCTCCACAATTTAGTTGTAATTCCAGGTTGGCCCTGGGAGGAGGTCAGTGTGACTTCCACTCACTCTGCCATCTTGATTCTCAAAAAATTAAAAATTTATAAAGATAAAAATGTTAAGCCAAGGTTAATTGATTATTGAAAGAAGAAAATATTTTAAAATACACTTAAGGTAACCTAAGTGTACAGTGTTTATAAAGTCTATAGTAGTACATAGTAATGGTGTTCGTGTTTGCTCACCACTCCTGATTCACCCAGAGCAACTTACAGTTCTTCAAGCTACATAATAAGTGGCTGATACAGGTGTACCATTTTTTATCTTTTATACTGCATTTTTACTGTGCCTTTTCTATGTTTAGATATGCTTAGATATACAAATACTTAGCATACAGTATTCAGTACAGTAACATGCTGTGCAGTTTTGTAGCTTAGAAACAGCTATATCGAATAGCCTAGGTGTGTAGTAACCACGCCAGAAGTTTGTACAAGTACACTCTATGACATAACACACAGTCGCCCAATCACCTAATGATGTGTTTCTCAGAACATATCCCCATCATAAAGTGTCTCATGACTGTAATATAGAGTTTTTTTAGATCAGTTAATTTCAGAGGAGAAAAGAGTTAAGAAAAGGGATTAACTCATGAACTAGGCCAGTCCCTCAATTTAAGGAAGAAGACCCACTTGACTTTGGGACATGCTGGCTTGGTGTCTGCTGCTATTTCTAACACACTGTGGGGTGTCCTTGCTCATCATGTGTCCTCTTAGAACTAAAATCAGGTGCTGCTGACCTTGAAAGGATTGCTGGGTTGAATGTGAAAGACCTGTCTCTAGTCCAAGGAAGAGCCCCTTGGTGTAAACTGTACTGAGTCGAGTATCTGGGTCATGTACTCTTCGCTGCATCCTTGCCTCTTCTTTCTCACCATGTGTGCAGATTGTGCGGCGGGGAGTGCCTCCTGGAGGAGGAGGCGAAGTGTTTTTCTCATGTCCTGTAAGGAAGATCCTGAAGCCCATTCAGCTCACAGATCCAGGAAAAATCAAGCGCATCAGAGGAATGGCGTATCCTTTACATTTGGTTCAAATTTCTTATTTTTTTCTCACCTCATGAAGAGTGAGTCATAACAACTTTACTTCTTCCCAGGGTTACTTGCATTTTAGAAAACAATCTTGGAAAAGTCTTAACAGTGAAATTGTAATTGTTGGATGAAGTATGATGCTTTATTATCTGCTACACCTTGACCAAATTGAGTGATTCATTATTTGTTTTAATCTTTATCATTTTCTGTTTTAGTTAACACTTACATGGCTCCCATGTATGTGATACTGTCCTGAGGGCTCTGATTTGGGGGTCACCAATGCACTTGCAGCCCCTCCCTCAGAAGAGCTCATCATCTGATGAAGGAAACAAATATGTAAACACATAGTTCTAATATAATGTGTAAAATGATATAGACACATGTGCAGTGGGCTGGGGGAGCTAAGAGTAGAGAGTGGTTAATTTTGTCTGGAGGATATAGGAGGGCTGGAATATTATCTACTGTTCGTTAAGTGCTTACTCTGTACTTAAGGGATAATTACTTTATATATTTAATTTAGCTTTAAAAAACTACTTTATTGAAGTATGAGTGACATCAAAAAAGCTGTACATGTTTAATGTATACAACTTGATGAAAATTTAGAAGTAAGTAGGTTTGTGAAACATAATGCCATAAATATACCCATTGCTTCCAAAAGTCTCCTCTCATCTTCTTTATGTAAAAATTTTTTTAATTAATTTATTTTTTGATAACACTTAAGATCTTTCCTCTTAGCAAATATTTTAGCTGCACACAATGCAGTATTACTAACCATAGGCTTTATGTTCTTAGTATATAGAAATGCAGCTGTTTTTTGTATGTTGACTTTGTATCCTGCAACTTTATTGAATTTATTCTCTTTTTTTTTGTGTGTATGGAGCCTTTAGGATTTTCTATGTATAAAATTACATCATTTGCAAACACAGACAATTTTACTTCTTCCTTTTCAATTTTGATGCTTTTTATTTCTTTTTCTTGCCCAATTGCTCTGGTTAGGATTTCCAGTACTTCATTGAATAGAAGTGGTGAGAGTGGGCATCTTTGCCTTGTTTCAGTTCTTAGAGGAAAAGCTTTAGTTTTTCACCACTGACTGTGATGTTAGCTGTGTGCTTTTCATATGTGATCTTTATTGATGTAAGCTTCTTCTATACCTAATTTGCTGAGAATTTTTATCATGAAAAAATGTTGAATTTTGTTGGAGGTTTATGTATCTATTGAGATGATCATGTGATTTTTATCCTTCATTCTGTTATGTAGTGTATCACATTGATTGATTTGCGCATGTTGAACCATCCTTGTGCCCCAGGGATAAATCCCATCTGGTCATGGTATATCATCCTTTTATTCTGCTATTGAATTTGATTTGCTATTATTTTGTTGAGAATTGTTGCATCCATATTCATCAGGGGTGTAGTTTTTTTTTTTTCTTGAACTGCTTTTGTCTGGCTTGGTATTAACTGATGTTGGCCTCAAAAAATGAGTTAAGTGTTGCCTTTTCAGTTTTTGGAAGTTTAAGGTTAGATGTTTGGTGGAATTCACCAATAAAGCCATCTAGTCCTGTGCTATTTTTTTGTTAGGAGATTTTTGATTACTGTTTCAATCTGGTACATGTTATTTGTTCTTTTCAAGCTCTCTATTCTTGATTGTTTTGGTTGTAGGTTATATGTTTCTAGGAATTTATTCATTTCTCTAGGTTGTTTAATTTGTTGGTGTAAAATTATTTGTAATAATCTCTTATGATCTTGTTTTGATTTCTGTGGCATCAGTTGTAATGTCTTCTCTTTCTTTCCTCATTTTACTTGAGTCTTTTCTCTCTCTAGCTAAGAATTGTTTGATTTTATCTTTTCATGAAACTAACTCTTAGTTATGTCAGTTTTTGTATTCTTTTGTTTTCTGTTTCATTTGTTTCTGGTCTAATCTTTATTTTTTCTTTCCTTCTGCTAACTTTGGGTTTAGTTTGTTCTTTTTCTATTTCCTTGGGGTGTAAAGTTAGGTCTTTTGAGATCATCTTTTTGTAGAAAGAATGTAGGTATGTTTATCACTCTCAACTTCCCTCTTACTACTGATTTTGCTGCATCCCATAAGGTCTGGTATGTTGTGTTTTTATTTTCATTAGTCTCTAGATATTTTCTAATTTCCCTTTTGATTTCTTATTTGACACACTATTTAATAGTGTGTTGTTTTATTTCCATATATTTGTGAATTTTCTTGTTTTCTTGCTGCTCTTGATATGTAGTTATTTTCCATTGTGGTTGGAAAAGATACTTGGGATGATTCCAGTCTTAAATTTGTTAAGATTTGTTTGATGACAAAACATGTGATCCTAGAGAATATTCTGTGTGTACTTGAGAAGAATGTATATTCTGCTACTACTAGGTGGAATTTTCTGTATGTCTGTTAGGCCCATTCTGTATATGTTGGTGTGCTGTTTATGTGTTTACGTGTGACTGATTATCATTCTGGATGTTCTTATCCATTATTTAAAGTGGGGTATTGAGGTCTCCTACTGCTATTTTATTGCTGTCTGTTGCTCCCTTCAGACCTGTCAGTACTTGCTTTATATGTTTTTGGTGCTGAGATGTTGAGTACATACATATTTTTAACCCATATGTCTTTCCATTGAATTGATCCTTTTATTGCTATATAATGACCTCTTTGTCTTTTATGACTTGAAAGTCATTTTTGAATTAAAGTATTTTGTTTGATATATTTTGTCTGCTCTCTTTGGTTACTATTTCCATGGACTATCTTTTTTATCCCTTTACTTCTAGTGTATATACATTCTTAAGTCTAAAGTGAGTCTCTTACAAGCAGCATATAGTTGCATCTTGTTGTTTTGTCCATTCAGCCAGTCTGTCTTTTAATTGGGAACTTTTAATATATTTACATTTTATATGTTTTATTTTTAAGCCTCAAAGTTCCTGAGTTTACTTAAGTCCTATTTTGTAGAGATAAGAAACTGAGGCTTCAAAAGCTTAAGGAACTTGCTCCAAAGTCAGTCACACTGTTCACAGTGGCAGAACTGGGGTTTGAACCCCATCTGTCTGACTCTGCGGCCCTGGCTTTTAATCTCTGCTTTCTCCTATGGAAAAGACAGGACATTTGGACTGAGCCTTGAAGAACAGAGGCTTGTTGAAGTGGAGCAAGGAAGGAAAAGCACTTCAGGCAGAAAAGTGGGCCAGTGTAGAGGTAACAAATGCACAGTGGCTCTGGGGAGTGGCAAACAGTGTGCTATGGCCCAGGTGCAGGTCGGTCAGTGGTGTTTGGCAGGAGAAGATGGGGCATGAAGATGGGCAGGAGCCAATGAAGGTTGAAGCGTTGTTCTTCATTGTGAAGTCAGCAGTTTTCTTCTGTAGAATGAATTTGTATATTATGAGTACAACCCTAATGGTCCTGAAAGAACTTTGGCTCATTGTAGACATTTTAGAAGGTACAAGTTTAAAAAAAAAAACAAAACCTGATGATAAGCACTGCACTTAGGGGCAAAGATGACAGGGAATTATTGTGCTCTCAAGAAGAGACAGTAAGGGTAGTGGCTGGAGGATAGGTGCAGGCTACTAGTTTACAGGGTCTTAGAAGCGGAATGAATAGGACACAATGATTACCTGTGTCTATAATAGAGGCTCAGGGAGCCGTGAGGATGATTTTGATGTTTCTCTCTTAGGCATTAGGTAGAGAGATTTGTTCTTATAGTAGCCACAAATGTTTGGGGTGATGTGGCAGGATGTGAGGAAGTGAAGATAAGTTCAGTTTTAATTCATGTTGAGTTTGAGGGCCTTCCACGATGGTTACAGGGAGACAAGTCTAGAAAGGAAATTAGAAATGTGGATCTGTAACTTAGGGGCAAGGTGAGGTCTAGAAATGAGTGATTTAGAGTCAGCTACCCTGTGGGACGCAAAGAGGGGCAGACAGAACACTGGGAGCCCACTAGGACTTGGAGAGCAGAAGCATAGTAGGTGCTCCCAGGAAGGGAAACGATGGAAAGTCAGAGGACAATAAAGACAATGCAGCTTTTGGAAGCCCAGGTCAATGCCGTAAAGAGCACTAGGATGGGGGAATAGTTGAAGAACTCATAGCAGACTATCACTGATGCTTCTGGGAGGACCTCTTTCCCTAAAGTAGTGCAGACAGATCAGATCATCAGTTCTGGGTTGTGGAGTGACTGGGAGGGAAGTAGTGAATGAAGTCTGGGTTCTTGACTGGAAAGAGAAGTAAAAAGAAAGATGAGGTGGTAACTTAATGAAGAGAGAGTTGATAACATTCCCTCTTACACTTGATCTTAGCCAAAAGGGCTGAGAAGTGATGATGCCCTCCTTTAAACAATGTGTTGGTAATGATTTGAGTATTTCTGTAGGTTGGGTAAAGGAGATTAAGTATGAGACAGGGAGAGTGATGAAGCATTGCAACAAGGTGATTTAAGGTACAAGTGCTGGAATCAGATAGATGTGGGTTCTAAATCTGGCCTTGCCACTCACCAAGAGGATTTTGGTTCCAAGCCTTGGTTGTCAGTGTTTATCATTAGGCACATTATACCTACTATATCTGTAATGAAGGTTAAATGAGGTCATAGACGGATAGTACAAGGCACTGGGCTCGTTTACAAGTAAGCATTAAATGGTGTAGCTGCTGTTTTTATTATTGTTTGAGAAGGGATGAATTGAGAATGGCAGGCATATGGTAAGGATGGCTCTAGGTTGATTTGTCTGGAGGCGAGTGGAAGGGAGTAAGGAGTTTCCTTTTTTCACTAAGATAGGATAGGATGAAGAGTAAGGGGATTGGAGGAGTGTGAAGAGGGAATCTGACAAGGGTGGTAAAAGTGGACTGTCACAGTGGGGCATAGTAATTAAAGATAAGAAGGCTGTAGGACAGCAACGCAGGCTCAGCCGAAGCTGAATTAGGTGCCAGCCACATGGCTGTGTGGCTGCACCCAGCAGCAGTTAGCAGCCTCGAGGAGGAAGTAGAGAAGATAGGAGGGCCGCTTTCATCCAACCAGGGGTGGGCGTGGATTGACAGGATGAGTGAGCCGTGCAGAAGGAAGGTCAGGGGGGTAGTTTGTGAGCCTGTCGTTGAGGCAATGGTCAGCGTGCTCCTTCCTGCAGACCACAACAGAGCTCACCAGCCTGAGGGAAGCACATAGTCAGGGAATTGGACCCCATAACAGGTAGTAGAAGTAGATAAGTGTCAGTTTAGGGAATCATTTTGGGGTTTCATGTGTTAAAAGTGGTGAATTTCTTGGTGCGAACAGGGTCTGGGTAAGGGTAGACGTTGGCGGCCTAGGGGCTGGGTGGAGTTGGGAGATGGCTGCCCCAATAAGGAGTTTGACAGAGTGAGATCAACCAGGATGTCTCCTTCTGGGGGTGTGGTAGGTGCATAGAGTCAAGTTTTGTACTTCTCAGGCGGTTTTAGGGTAGGCTTACATGGAGGAAAGAAGTGTGTAGTGATCTAACTATTCAGGGGGTCTCTATTAACTTGGACAGTAAGTAGTGAGGAACATGGAACAGGTAGGCTGCATGCCCATGGGGCAGAGGGGGCCTTTGTTGAGATAAAAGATTAAACTTGGGGTGCTGCCACAAGTGTTTTGTAAGGATCATCAAGAACAGAGGAATTTATAACACAGCTTCCCTGGATTGTAGTCTGTTCATATGGCTGTCTCAGGCCACCTACTGCCCACCCCCTTGTGTATGTGAGGAGAAAGCAGGCAGGTGGGTGAGAAACAGTTCCTGTCGGGGAGCCCTCACAGGGTAGTTAGGTTGACGGATAGTTAAATTGACCTCACTGTTGCCAAAAGTGCTGCAGTTATTGGCCTTGTACATGAATTCTTAGACACTTAAAGATCTATTTCAGTTTGTTTTTTCTCATTTGAGATTTGTTTCTTACCATGGCAGTGAACTCTGTTTAGAATCCATTCACTAGTCTGGAAATGTGATTTCCAGAGTGTGCTGTTTGCTTTGACCCAGTCTTGTGACCACATGGGTTTCACACTGGAGTCCTGCCTGGCACTCTCTTCACTGGGTATGCGAAGCCTCATGAATGAGCCTTTGATGTCGCTGGGAAATGGGTAAGCATCCTGGTTTGTACAGGGGAGAACAGGAAAGCTGAAAGCTACAGTGTCCCAGGCACCTGGGGTTTGACTTTGTTCCTCCTTCATTTCTCTCCCTGGTGTCCTTAGAGCCTGCCCTTTATAGAATCTGAGCCGGGGAGACTGGTGAGGGCCCAAGCCCCCTCTTGCTTGAGGCAGGGGATATGACACCTGAATCCTCTGTGATCTTCCACTAAACACCCTGGAAAAGACAGAAATCCCTATTTGCAAATCAAAAAACATTCCAGCCACTGCTCTGCAGAGTAGTCCATTTCACCAACACCTCGGAGGAATGTGGGTTTGAATTTGAGATCACCTTCTTGGCCAGTATTGGAGCCTAGGAAGAAAAGTGCCTTTGGGAAAAGTTTTAGCTGGGTTTGTGATTTTTACAAAATTTCAAGGCTGGTTAACTATTGATCTGAACTTGGAGGTTGTAGTCCCCACAGGAGCGCTCAAGTGGGGAGAACTAGCCCCACTCTCTTACGTGCATTTGTTGTTTTAATGAGCCAACACCCAAAGTGCATCTTTTTTCCCCTTGTGATCGACTCGCCAGGGTCTGGGAGGGAGCTGGTGTTCCTGCCAGCAGCTGTGACTGCTGGTGTGTTGCCGTTAATTTAATGCCACCCACTGTCATTCTGCCCCTTGCGTGATGTGGGGTGGGACAGAAGGGAGCACTCTATTTTAGTTTTATAGTGTTGACCTGGTAGCTCTTGATTTGGTACATAAGAATTAATGAGTAAACTGGGGTAGAGGCAGAAGAAGGGTATGAATTGGAATTTGTGGGACAATCTGGTTTCTTTCCTCTTACTGTAGGGAAGGTACTCAGGGAACCAAAATCTCTGTCTCTCCCCCCCGCCTCCCCCTCACATGCATGCACACACGTGTACACTACTTGGGTTTCTCTGACCTGCAGGCCATATGGACTATAGGTATGAACTTGTCTCTTGGATATGAGTTCTTAATATGGTATTCATGGGTGAGCTTCAGGACGTTCATAACCCTCAGATAACCTGTAAAGGTAGACGTCTGTTCTTGTGTTTCTTGAGAGAATGTCGTAGCTTTCATCAGATTCTCAGAGGGGTCTCTGATTCCTGAAAGGATAAAAACTTCTGCTCTGGGCTTTGAATCTTGGACTAACAGTAAGAAGAGCAATAGCTGATACTTATTGGGCTCCAATCATGTACTAGGCACCACTGATCACTTTGCATGCATTATTTTATTTGAGCCTCCAAACCCTGGGAGAGTATTATGATTATCCTCTTACTGTGAGGATGTGGAGGCACAGAGAGTAGCACAGTAGACCCCTGCGTGGTGCCGTTTGCTGGTGCTGGAACTTCAACACAGTCTGATTGTAGAACTCTTAGTTGTTCCTTGGTAGGGCCTCAATGCCAAACCAGATGGCTCCATAGAGACTCTAGATAGCCAGTTTAAAGCTCCTTTCCCTTTTTCAACTGACCCTGAATCAGCACTGTCACCTTCCTGGTTTTCACGGCTCTGGAGGGGTAGGGGAAGAGGTTGTCTTTGGGAAGTGGATCTGTTTGATTGTGAACCTTAGGTCTGTGACCCACTCGTCCTCAGTGTAAGCCCTGGAACTGGGAATCCATCCATTGCCCTTGTCAGAGGGTTACCATGAACATAAAATAAGCTGATAATGTACTTTGAACTTTGGAAATCACAAACGATGTGGGATTGTGTGTCAGGGTGTGACATCTGCGCTCTCCTATGGAGAGTGAGCAGCCTCAGGCCTCGCAAGGACAGCACCCCCCTGGTCCAAAGGCTGTAAGACCTGGGACTGTTTGTCTTAGCTGCCTGTGGTCAAAAGTACATTCTGGACAGCAGAGGTGGTGATGTAACTGGGCTGTGTGTGTGTTTTGAAAAATCCCCTTTTGCTCTTTCTTCATTTCAGGTTTGCCCTTTGAGTCAAGTCAAATATTTATTGAATATTTCTGGGTACAAAAGTAGTGTATTAGAGAGTTGTGAGGGATGCAGCAGCAGAGCCCCTTCCCTTTATGGAGTGTGCAGTCTTGTTGACAAGCAAGAACATGTGTGTGTGTGTGAAGGGAGATGTGTGGTAAGTCAAAGTGCTGACCACAGTGGGGTGCTGGCTGGCGGGTTTCAGAAGAGAGGGAGTTCTGGACTTGAAGAATGAAGGAAGGCAGTTCAGGATGAAGAATCTGGAGAACTGGGATGGGTGGACGATGTGATGTTACCAGGTTGGGGAGAAACACTGAGCAGGACGGAGGGTCCGACAGCAAGATCTGGGAGGGTCCGAGTTACTGGGAGATCTCAGTAGCTTGAGGAAGATCAATCTTTGAGTGGAATGTGCAGAATGGATCAGAAATGGAAGCTTGATGGTAATCAAGTTTTTACACAGACTCAGAGCATTTTGTTTTGCAGCTCAAATGAAAATTTAATGTTACTGATAGTAGTTTTTGAAGAGTTGAACTGAAATGAGCAGACCATACACTTTGTTTTCCCTGTTGGACTTGCCACGTGAGGTTTACATAAGGGGAGTGGGAAGATCTCATGTTGTTACTTCTCCATTCTTTTAACCCCTTGTCCTACATATGTAGCTAGCTTCTGACCATGCACTGCACATTGAAAGTGCTCAGTACACACTTATTTTTTATTTAATTCATGGGGTTGGGGAGAGCCAGTCTCTGTTTTCCACTTCCTCAAACACCAGCCTTTTTATTTGAGTTGCTGATATCTTCCTCCTTACCTTCCCGGTGGTACCTTGTTGTAAAAGTGCTAGATAACCAGTATTCTGACCATGAGGTAGCGGTCGTAAGGAGTTAGAATCATCCACAAAATAGAGTGATTGCTACTTAAATAATTGAAAATAGGCCCTATAAGTTAAAAAATAAAAAACTGTTTCGATCTTTACATACAGCAGCTCCCATGCTCTTTCTCTTAATTTTTCTCTGCTTTCCCTGTCAACGAACCAGGGGGTGGATTGGTCATCCCCCGTGTGGCATCTCTTTTGGTTTTAGGTTGTAAGAGAAAGAGTCACTAGTTTCGGCAGTGGGAATGATCAGCGAGTCCTTCTAAGGGAGCTTGGCTCATGCCATACTGAGAGGCAGTTGCCTTCATTTGTGCCAGAATTGAGTTGAATCATTTCTAAGGGTGGGGGTGTGGCTAGAAAGTCTAGATCAGGGTGGGGAGGTTTTACTTTCCAACTCCTTATATTGTTTGGCTTTCTCACCATGAGCTTTTAAGCATTTTATAACTATAATATAAAAATTAATAATAAATAAAAATAATATAAAAATTGATGATGGTATTATACAGTTAAATAATGAACTACGGTTAGCAAATCAAATGCAATTCGAAGTTATTACAGTTTCACAAATATTTGCCAGCTTTATAACTGATTTTTCTCTGTTCTGAAGTCCAAGTAGAATAATGACCTTAACTCCAGGTTGTAGGTACTCTGTACGTGTATCACCTCAGATGGCAAACCGGATTGTGGATTCTGCAAGGAGTATCCTCAACAAGTTTATACCTGATATCTATATTTACACAGACCACATGAAAGGAATCAACTCTGGGAAGTAAGTGTGCATTTTTGGAGCCCAATTCTACTGCTACCCAGACTTTTTCATACTCCTATTCTGATTGAGGTTAAAGCTGTCAGCTCTGAGGTTGGGCAGCCAGAGGAAGAATACTTTCAGATTTAATTTCCTTCTGACTTACTGCCTTTGTCACCAGTAACTCCTGTCACATGGAAGGCATCCCAGAGGCCAGTGCTGGGAGATGAGGGGTCCAGTCCCTAGCCTGCAGAATGAAAACCCAGCTATTTATAAACACTGCTTTAAGCTTTAAATCCTATCTGCACTCTGTCCCTACAAAAAGTTGAACAAGTTCTTCCACCCTGAGTAAATAGTTTAGAGGGAAAAAAATCCTTTGTTGGCCTAAGTACCAGTCAGATTCTCTTTCCATCAAGGGAACAACACCCCTAGAGCCAAAGAAAGTTGTTCTTGCAGATTTGAATTTGATTTAGTTAAAGCCTTTGCGGAAAACCTGTTTAGAAAATTAAAAGTTAATGATGATCTGTGTAATGAAAATATTTGTTTTAGGCTTTCATTGTATATTTAAAAACCAGTAGGTTAGGGAAGCAGTTAAAACCAATTTTTTGCCTTGACTGGTGTGGCTCAGTTGGTTGGAGTGTTGTCCTATAACTGAGAGGTTGCATGTTTGATCCCTGTCCCCAGTGCGTTTGGGAGGCAACCAATTAATGTTTCTCTTCCTTCCTCTCTTAAAAAAAATTTTTTTTTTATTCTAAAAATGATAAACATAAAGAAAAGTTGACCTGAAATTAATATAAAATAATATCAAATATAACTAATTGAAAAAAAAAGTTGATAATATAGTGAACACCTATGTATTCCCGCTACCTATAGTTAAGAGTGAATATTTTGCCAAATTTGCTTTACCTGTGTGGGTTTCTTTGTTTTTACTGAAACATTTTAGTGTGAATTTTATTGTACTTGAAATCTGAATGTCTCCTAAAAATAAGAATATCAGAGTCCTAAGATCGACAGTGGTGTGTTAAGAAATCAACTTTTACCTAAGTGGTGCTTCAGCAAACCCTTTTCATAGATGTTCCATTTGAGGTTTCTTTTCAGCAAAAGAAGGAAAAAGAGAATAAAGGAGGGGTGAGGGTGTTATGGAATCTCTGACCTTTATGAGGCCTCAGGGAAAGATCAAGTTGATTTCGGAAACGCAGTAGTGGCTCATAGTCCAAAGTGATAGAGGTGGTGGTGTCAGAGGTTAGAGTTGTGAAAGGATTTGTGTGCAAAGCTGACCCTTTTTTCCTGGGGGTTAGAAAGGTCAGTGATGGTCCCAAACCTTTGTGTATTGCTCAGATGTCACCAGTATTTTCCTTGTTCATACCATGGGAGTGATAATGAATGCAAAGATGAAAAGATCACATATGTCAGCCACTAAGCCAATGCCTGGTGCATAATAGGTGCTACAGTAATGGTAGCTGCAGAGGTTGTTCTTCCCTTTCTTCTTGGCCACAGGTCTGGAGTTCTGTGTCAGCAGTTCTCTGGGGAGAGGGGATTACAGAGGGGCGGGGGAGGATAGATAGCAACAGCTGTCTGAATGGCCTGATCTCCACATGCCTTTTCTGTCTAGTCTCTGTCCCAAAGGGTGGCCAGGGATGAAGCAGAGCAGGCTGGAAGGCTGTACTTCCCCCAGCTATAGCGTAGTTTTTTATAATGACTGACTCAGCTGACCCCCGTTTGAGGCCTCTGTAGGAAGCTTACACATGGATCCAGATGTAGCTCTACATAGACGTGGGTCATCAACTCCAAGCTCCCCTTAAAAAATTAAAACCAATGCATGATAAGGTTGTTTAATCTTCTAAATCTTAAATTACAGATGATACTGTAATCTCTGTTACAAAATTATAAAGTCATGGGGTGGGTATTAATCTCTTCTGAGTCGGTGAAGTATCGATATCAGTTAGGCTTAGTGAAATCTAGGCATGAGAGTTTATGTTATGGGCATGGCCTAGAGCCTTGGGAGCAAGCAAATTTTGGTGGCCTGTGTCAGTGCTTTGACCAATGCGCACATCTCTCCAGTGTGGTATCATTTTGACTCTTGTAGTCATGACTTAAACAAACAAACTAGTCCTTTACCAGTTGGGAAGTTTGGGAGGTTGTCACTTACAGACTGCACTACTGTGCATCTTCAGTGAGGTCACCTGGTGACCAGCTGCTTTGTCGGCATAAATTGAAATAGGACTGATAACACACACCCCAAATTGCGGAGGAGGCGGATTGGAGTAGTATACAGAAAGCTTAATATGTTATCTTGTTTTACGTGAAACAACTGTAATATTAAATGGAACATTTTTGATCAACTGTAAATTTTATTGTAATAACAAGTACACATACCTGAAAAAAATTCACATGGATGGGAAAATTTAGAAGTTCTTGAGAAATTCGGCTACGTGGATTAAAGCAGTGATGGTAGCTTATTTTCTCGTCCTCCCTCCTCTACCATTTTCTCTGCTTTAATTTTTCACGCCACTGCCTCTGCTGCAGAGCTGGGCGTCCCCACCCGCCTCCTGGTCAAGCAATTCAAAGGCAACTTGAGATTGTGCTAAAGTGTCCCATGATGATGGATGGGTGGCATGGTGTCAGATTGTTACGCATTATACAGAGTGCTCTGGAACCTTTGATTACATAGGTGACTCACTACACCCCCTTCCCTTGGTGGGTGTTATTAACCCTGGGCTGCATAGATCATTGAGTATTTTTTAAAAAGAAAGCAGCGACTGGCCATTATAGTTCCTCCCTATAGGGAGTTCATACAGTGCATTTGAAATATCATTAATTTTACACATAGTAAAACTTGGCTACTTTTGTGGTGAGTGCATAGGAAACACTTGATGAACGTGTGTGTTGAACTGCGTCAGAAGAGGCTCATCTGTATTGTGTTGTGTGTGGACTGTAGTGGTTGCTCTTTTTCTGATGACATGTTTACCTAAAAGGCACTGGGCACCCTGGCTGGAGTAGCTCAGGTTGATGGAGCATTGTCCCGCAAACCAAAAGGTCATGGGTTTGATTCCTGGTCAGAACACATTCCTAGGTTGCAGGTGTGGTCGCCAGTTGGGATTCCCACAAAAGGCAACCAGTTGATGTTTCTCAAATCAATGTTTCTCCCTCTCTTCCTCCCTCTGTACCCCTCTAGCTCAAAAAAGAAAAAAAAAGCCCTGAGCAAAGTAGATTTGAGGTGTTAGATCTGGAAACTTTGTGGGGAGGCGCTTGTCTCCTACTGTTTATGGACTGATTTTGTTCTGTGTCGAACTGGTTATCGCTGAAGTCTGTGAGGGCAGGAATTCTTGTGTTTACCACAGTGCCCCCAGTTCCTGGCCCATGGAAGCTTCCCCCCAGATGTTTGTTGGGTTCATGAGTGAATGAGTCAGCTGTGGTCCTGGATCACAGGGTGTTAGGTTCTGGCTGCTGGGTGGTAGAAACACAATAGGAAAGAGGACCATGGTGCCAGCTTCTTGATTATATTAATTGAATTCTGAGTTAGAGATGTCCCTTGGTGACAAAAACAAAGACGTGCCTTATTTAGGTCCTTTCTGGCTTGTGCAGTATTTTTCATTTTGGGGGAGGAAAGCTGGATGCAGACCAAGAGGAGCTGTAATCAGGTGGTCTCTGGGCATCTCGCACCTTCGGGGTTGGTTCTGAGTGAGGGCTGTGGTGGCGACCTTGCTTAGGCTTTGGGGTCTGGAAAACTTGCATTTTGAAATGCATCTCATTCACTTTCTAGCTGTGCGGACTTAGTACAGGTTGCTTGATTTCTCCATTTCCTCATTTGTAAAATGGACACTAATACCAGCTCTGCAGAATTGTAGTGTCAAAGCCCCTTGCTCAGAAAGTGGCAGAAACTAGTGCTCATTTTCTAGTAGCCCTTGTTCATGTTAGACTCTCACAGTAGGGTCTTTTACAGTGTGGAGGATAGGGGAAAGGTGGGGACGAGAGGGCTGACAGGAAGAGCAATGCACACTTGCATCCTCCTTGGTTCTGCCATGTGTGCTTTCAAGAAGTCATACATATTTCCAGAGTAAGCTAGTAAGAACTCTAATAAGACTTGATGTAACAACAGAATGCCATTAGAAAGATGGTTGCTTTCTCTTTCCTTTTGCTGGTGAATCTGAACATCATTACATTAACTCTACTCAGTGTCTGTGCCTTTGAATCCCCAGGTCTCCAGGCTTTGGGCTGTCGCTGGTTGCTGAGACCACCAACGGCACCTTCCTCAGTGCTGAACTGGCCTCCAACCCCCAGGGCCAGGGAGAAGCCGTGCTTCCCGAGGACCTGGGCAGGAACTGTGCCAAGCTGCTGCTTGAAGAAATCTATAGGGTATGTCTTCAGCCTCCACTAGTCTGGGAAAGGAGCCACCAGGAAGCAGCTCATTGCCTCTCATTTTTATTTCTTAGCACCCTCTTCCTCTTCCAAGGGCTTAAGCCAAGGCGCTAACCTCTCTTCCTACCCATTATCAGTTTAATATGATTGGCTTAATGGATTAGCTAAAGTAGTCAATAAGCAGAGATCTAGCCTCCCCTGGTTTAAAACACAGGGCAGGTAAGTTTTAACAGTTGAGAATGGAAAGATCCGGAACAATGTTATACAGGAAGGAGAAGGTAAAAAATGAAGGAGATTAGGCGGTGACTGGTCACTTGAAGAGAATACATTGCGAGGACCAAAGCAGGTACCATCTCAGCTCCCCCAGTTGTTGCCATGTTAGGGTGGGAGCTCATTGTTTTCAGGTGTTTGAAGAGAAGTGGGAAATCTGGATTTGTATGACAGTCAATTCAGATAGAAAATAGTGTCAACAGGGTAGAATTTACAGTGTGTTCGAGAGCAGGGGTTCCTAACCCCTGGGCCCTGGACTGGTACCAGTCCCTGGTCTGTTAGGAACCGTGCTGCACAGCAGGAGGTGAGTGGCAGGCAGGTGAGTGAGTGAAGCTTCACTTGTATTACTGCCTGAGCTCCGCCTCCTGTCCACCACCCCTTCCCAGTCTGTGGAAAAATATCTTCCACGAAACCAGTCCCTGGTACCAAACAGGTTGGGGACCACCATTCTAGAGCATAGGAATGTTTCGGGAAGGCAGTCCTGTGTCAGAGCATGGCAGGGGCTTTGGAAAGATGAAAATGCAGGACAGAGAAAGAGGGACAAGAAGCTGAAGATAAGACTTCATAGTTTGCTGTTTGCATCTGCAGCTCTGTTAATAGGATATAACTCAGACCACTTTGGACCAGTCTGTCCTCTTAAGTTGCCACAGTTTTTTCTTTGTCAGTTTATACAAGCAACATGCATGTAGGCATATGAGAAGGGACCCCAAAGAAAAAAACTGGAATTATCTTCCAGTGGAATGGGCCCCTTGTAGTACCGGCCTCCCCCACTAGGTGACTGTTCTAGGAGCCTATCTGTAACAGTGCACCAGCTGGAGGTGTTGTGAGAGGCTGTGTTTGGCTTCAGTGAATTTTATTTTGAAGATCCTTTTGACACTTCTGCCTATTTCATGACGGGTGATCTATGAGTGCACCTGCCCACACTGCACTGAGTGTTCAGCAGTTTTTGACCAAAAACAGCATGGCTCCCAGGCCTCACCCTCCCTATTCACCCCAAAGTCTCGCCCAAGCGACTTCATTTCCCCAGATGAAAAAAGTCCTCAAAGGGAAACATTTTGCCAATGTGGAAGAGGTGAAACAAAAAATAACAGAAGCACTAAAAGGCATCAAAATTGACAAGTTCAAAAACTGTTTTTGAGCAGTAGAAAATTTAATAGGTATGTTGCATCAAATGGAGAATACTTTGAGGGTGACTGAAATGTAAACATTTAAGCATAAATACACAGTTTTTTATAAATAAATTTTGGGTTTTTTGGGTCCCCCCTTGTACATACACTTCTACTGTTTCCCAAAAATAGTCGAGGTGACTTAAAATAAGGAAGAAATTGGGAGGGAAGGAAAGGTGATGGCAGGAGAAATAAGATAATGCTGCCTGAAAATGCATTCTTTAAGGTCCCATATACTTGGTTGGAGGAGAGTCACAACTCTGTTTTCAGGATTCTGGTTGTGCTATCTTTTGCCTTGGATCTATGTCAGGAAGGTGAAGCCTTTTCTTTGACGTGCAGAATCCAGAACAAGCCCCAGTGGTGGTCGTTTTTCTGCTGTGTATGTGAGGCCCCACATTCTTAGCTGAACACTAGCAAGAACTCTACTTTGATTTGCTTTTGTATACTGTATAATATTTGTAAATTGTTTTTTTTTTTTTTATTCAGTGGAAGAGCCTTTCTTCTCTGTATTTCTGTATGTTCTCAGTTATTAGATATGTGGTTTTTTTCCTGAGGTCTCCCAGGGAGCTTTGCCCTGTTGAAAGTAGCAAAAATCATATGTGATCTTAATGAGATAAAATCAGTAAGGCAGGGATAGAGTGATGATTTTGTTTTATTTTTTAACTCCTTTTGTCACTGTAGTTTATTAATCATTGTGGTGGAGTGAGGCCTGGTTCTGGGTATTGATCCCTACCCAGGACACTAAGGGAAACAGCTGGTAGCCACAATGTTCTTCCCTGATCAGTCACCATTTTCAATAATATCTCATTGGTCGCACGGTGGAACAAGAAGGAATGAACTGTTTTGGAGTGAATTAAAATATCCTGGTCTTAGACCTTTTTTTTTTTTTTTTTTTTAACGTTTGTCTAATTAAAATGGAAGACAAAAGACCTATAATTGTGTCTTCAGTAGTGTGAGTCCACTCCCTCTACTCACCCTGTAGCTAGCAAGTAGTGGCGGAAAGAATATCCCATCAAGTGAAATCCTTCTGAGGGGGAAGAATCTTCTCATAACTCCTGTATAGCCAAGGTCTGGCCTTAGCTTTGTTGATGCTAAGTCAGTTCAATGTTTGATGCTTACTTTAGCGATTTTGTGTGTGTGTGTGTGTGTGTGTGTGAAAGATAAGTAATAACTAAAAATTGGGAGTAAATAAATGATCAAGAGGTGACCACCATGTCATCTAGGAAGTTTGTCATCTAGACATCTGTGAAGATGGAATGTGCATGTGATCCACGCGTCCCTAAGCTCCTAGCGACTCGTTCAGGTTTCCCTTCCTTGGTGGTAGGAGGTCCCCCTTCTGACACTGGAGACCCTTCCATCTCTTTCCAGTAGATCTAGCGGAACTGAAAGCATCACATTACAGAATAACCTTGCTGGAGCGTGAGTTTTTTATCCCGTAAATAGCACATTATAGGCCTCAGGGTGAAAACACAGTCTACAAGTCCACAAGAGAGAAAACCTGCAATCTGGATTAGGCTATTTTATTTTTTTTCACTTTACTCTAGTTAAGTTCTACTTAAAAATCATTTCATTGTGCTTGCACCAAGTTTTCTTTTTTAAATCATTAAAGAAACTTCCTTTTTGCGTGTCCGCGATCTTCAGTTTTTGGATGAAAGTGCTTCACGCTTTTATGAATAATAATTTATAGGTCTGTGTTGTGACATGGTTTAAATAAGTAATAAAAACATAATCCCCTTTAAAAGTGCTATTTATTTTTATCAAAGTTTTAATCCTCTGATCTAATCCCTCTTGTTCTATTTCTGTCTCATCAGTTACCAAGTCCTCTGGATTCTGTTTCAGGCTCTCTGGAACTGCCTTTCCTGTCCCATCCTTTTTGCTGCCTTCATCTCCTCTCCTCCTCCCCCCCTTCCCCTTCCCATTATGTCTGTTGGCTTTCCCCTCTTTCAGGGGAGAAGTCCTTTCCAGTTCTGCTCCAACATCCCCTTCAGTCTGAGCTCCTAAAATACTTACTTGATCTTTTCCCTCCTGTGCTGAAAGACCTTCACTAGCTTCTCACTTTCCCAAGATAAATCAGAACCTTGCTGGACTCAGAAAAGCCCTGGTCTGCCTACTGCACCTTTTCCCAGAGTTTCACATACTTCTCCCCTGCAGGTACCATGCAGCCCTTTCAGGCTGGCTGCCTGGTTTTTCCTTGCTGGCCCTGGGTCATATTTACCTCATCGGTCTGCTCTTCCTTCCCCTCCAAACCCCCTCCCTCCGGGGCCAGTTTAAGTCCCCCTCTTCCCAAAGCCTCCCCCTGGTGCTGTGAGCAGCAGTCCCTCCCCGCTCACCTTGGCTGTCCGGGTGTCCATAGCTCTCAGTGGCTGCAGAGCTTTGGCTTCACTTTGAATTGTTTTTGTTTCGATATTTCAGTGTGATTGAAGCACCTTGGCACAAGGGTTGTATCCTCTGCTGAGGGGTGGCCCTACCACACCCTCCATTGTATCCTCCTGTACACAGACCCCCAACATATTTATTGCACTAAAATACTGGTGTAGTACGTAATAAAAATCAATAAAAATCTATTGAAAATGGTGGAATAGTAGCATGGTGATAAGAGGCAGAAACTGAAGAGGACAGTTTAATTTTAGACAGTCTTACTGGGTTGGCCAAAAAATATATCCAGTTTTATCTGTAAAATAAGACATTTTCATTTTCACCAATAACTTTATTGATTTAGATATTTTGAGTATGTCGGCTATCTCCCGTGTAGTATGATATTGATTCTTTTTAATTAATGTCTTGATTTGATCACCATCAACCTCAACTCATCTACCCAACCATGGAGCATTGTCCAGTGAGAAATCTGCAGCACAAAACTTTACAAACCACTTTTGACATATTCGATCAGTCATAGCACCTTCTCCATGCATTGCACAAATCTTTCCTTGTATTTCAGTTGTGTTTTTACCTTTCTTGAAATAATAAAGCATAATATGCTGAAAATGTTGGCATATTTTCTTCCACCTTCAGTATTAAAATGGCTACACAAAAATTCACCAATTTTGATTTTTTTAAAAATGCACGCTGAAATGACAGCTGCCACAATACAATCTAATAAAATTGTTTTGAATGAAATTAGAGGCAACTAAATGCTACTAGAGCCATCGTACAAAAAACAAATGAACTTTTTGGCCAACCCGATATGAAAGGCAACAAGTTTTGTAAAACAGTTTTGGTCCTCAATTCTCTATTGGTCAGGCTTTCTTTTTTGGATAGAAATATATATGCTATACATGTTCTTGTCCTAAAATTTGTTTAACGGGGTAAATATTATCCTTTAAGGTAGGTTAGGAAGAGCAATAGATTTTCTTAAAGGCTAGCAGTAGGATAAAGCCCCTTTATTTTCCTACTCCATTGTCATAAATGAAACCCGACAGCAAAGAGTGAATGTCTGTGCCTGAGAATCGATTTATTTCCTACACTACATGCCTTTCTAAAGGAGAGAGGTATACCCAGCAGTGAGTGGCCACCTGTTCTGTTTAAAGTCTGGGAGTCTAGACTTGGGCATTGACGTGCCATCCTCAGAAACTGGGTTCTTTTTGTGATGTACAAAATATGTAGAAATTCAAGGTCGTTCTACTTTCACTGTGTACAATGTAAGTTTGAATTGTTTTAAGTACAGTTACCCCAGAAAGAATGATCAGGGAGGAAGACATTTTTAAGGCACATGTGCAAATAGCAGTAATGCATGCATCTAGTGGAAGCAGCAGAATGGCCAAAATGGTCGAGAAATTAAAAAATGAAGGAAGAAAGGCAACCAACACAGTTGCTCTTCAGGAGAAAGTTTGTGAGAGGAGTTCTATTGGTTTGGAAGAAAAGGAAGAAAAAGTGGGGGAAATAGTGCATAAGTAGTAAGAATGTACGTATCTGATCTTAATAGTTCTTCAGTTTTGAGGCACACAGAAAGGGTAAGGAGGAGGAACTAAAGTCACAGCAAGCAGTTTTTGACTGATTAAGTCTTACAGATGAAGGTTCTTCCATGTCAGATTGACTGTGGTGGTCTACAACAGGTTAAATAAACAGAAGTGCATTCACTTCACCCATGTTAATTAACTGTACATTTCCTAGTATTGATTTTGCTTTTTTGTTTGTATATCCTACTGCTGCTTTAATTAGAAGGGAAACTTTTACTTTTCTGTAGATGTACCTCAGTAAACTTGAATGTCTATTTATTCTGATAGTCTCAGCTAATACAGTTGTTTCTATTAGCTGTTAGTTTAACCCCCACAGTTAAGTTACATAGGCACAACTCTTGAAAGACCCATATTCTGTTTTATAATTGCTTGAAATTTGCAATCTGTTCTTCTGTGGTTCTGGTATTTCTGGGTATTTGTGACTATTTTCTTGGTTTTCCATTTTCTGGTTGGTATAACGATTAATCTTTTAAGTGTTTGTATTTACAGGGTGGATGTGTGGACTCGACCAACCAAAGCCTGGCTCTGTTGTTTATGACCCTGGGACAGCAGGATGTTTCCAAAGTCCTGCTAGGACCGCTCTCTCCCTACACGTGAGTTGTTTTCTTTCAGCCTCATTATGCTATCCAATTTAATCTTCCAGTTGCATGAGATGACAAAGGTGTTGTGCTGTGCACAGCCTATCCCTGTGAACACCTGCTTGTTCTGACCCTTAAATGAGCTGGAGGTTGTCACTCTTAACCTGGTGTTTAACAATATTTTTGCCTTTCCCCCCTATAGTTTCATCACTCCCATCTCTCAGCTCCATGTTGTTGAAGCTGTGTGGTATATTAGATAGTTTTTTTGTCTATGGTTTAGATTTTTTACAATTTTGAAGGTAAACTCCAGGTTCCATTATAGCTTGCTTGGATTTTTTTTTGTTAGTTTTGTTTAATCCCTCTTTTCCCTAGCTGTGGCAAATAGGCCTGTCTTTTTGCCCAAGATGATAGGGTATGCACTGGCTGGAAAGATGAAGAAAGAGGCAATGTCTATAGTAATGCCACTGGACAGGTAGGGAAATTGTAAAGATGAGTTTGGCCACTGGATGCTATCAGAATTGATGGCTGAGGTATTAAACAAGCAGTCTCCAAAAAGAGCAGCTCATTAGAAGACTTGAATTAGCAAATGAGTTTGCGGTGACAGTCTGAGCACTGACATCTGGCTGTCGGTGGGTGGGCCTTGCATGGGAGGAGATATTCAGGTAGATATGAGACTGAACTGTCCTTTTTCGGTTATCATGGTACCGATGCTGTATATCTGAAAGGTACAGTACTGTGATAACTGAAGAATGGTGGTGCCATCACGTTGGGAACGGGACAAGCACAGCTGAGGGGTGTTGCACTATTGGATCATTGCTGGGGGGCATAGAGACCAGGAGCTTGAAAGAGGGGTTTTTTAAAATTTTGTGTTGGTGGTGGGAGGTCTTTTTGGAAGAAGGAAATAAAAGAGAATGCATTCTGTTAGCAATGGGAGAAGACTGATAAGCAGGAAACTGGTGAGGACCACTTTATCTGCTGATAACTTGTGTAAAGTATTTCACAGCACAGGAAACCTGAAATTGAGTAATCCTCAATGGCACACTAACATCAGGAATCAACATCGCTAAAATAGATTTTGTAGTTAAGGCATTTGGAGAGGAGGTGAGGGCTGGGATTACGGAAGTGCAGAGATTCACTTCCTGTAGAGAGTTTGCTGGAAGCGCCTGACAGCCTGTGACTGCTATGGCCCCTTCAGCTTCTTAGCTCTCATTGCCACTGCTTTCCCAACCTCTGCTTCAGGGCAGCAGAAGATCAGGTTGCTCGCACAGCATTGCAGCTGTGTCCAGACGTGTATAGTTGTGGGGCATGGGTTTTGGCAGAATATTATGTAAGAAATGGAATATGTATTTTTATTTTTACTTGACACTTTTTTTGCCCTTAGAGATTTTTTTTTTCAGTTCGGCTATAGGGCCTCTATAATTTTTCAAGTCAGCAGCCCCTGTGGAGATAGTTAAGATGTGACTGGATTTTTTTTTAAAGTTCCTGTGTTCTCCTTGACTCTCTCACCAAACATTAATTGTAGTGTCTTGTCTTCAGAAACCTTGCCTAAAATTACTACGTCTCCCAGGAAAATAAAGTGGTCTACTCTGAATGGAGCTTTACAGGACTGGGGCAAATTGCAAAGTTATGTTTGAGACTTGGGGCTATCTTTCTCTGGATTTCCTGCCTCTCGGGGTTTCATGCAAGGGGGACTGCTGTGGGGTGGGAAAGGGCAGCCTCCTTTCTTTTTGGTAAGCTAGCACAAGGTAGGGGGTGTGGGGTTGTAAGGAGTTTATTTTTGAAAGCTGTATCTGTTTGGGACCCTTTCGGTCCTTTATCATTGTGGAAGGCTGCAGTGGCTCAAAATGAGGAAGGGCGAAGGCAGGAAGAAATATACATCCTTCAGGGACCAGTAGGCAAAATTAACGTCATATTTGGGGGTACAGTTAGGGTAAAAAAGGCACAGAATCTATAGTCAGTATAATCATGGTTGGGGGGAGGACAGTTTATCCTAGTTGGATTCAAGAGTTTGGAGAGGAAACTATCATTTTTTTTATGTATAGATAAAGTCATAAAAATCTGGTTTTTTACATCTGAAATTTCTCAAGAAAACTGGAAGCAGGACCCTCCTTGGGGTAAAGAAATGTATTTCTTCTGGCAGTTTTCACATTCTGATTTGTATACATAGCTTTTTAATTATTTTTTTTTCTTCAGTGCATAGGGATTAAGGAGGATCTTTTTATTGCCGTATTGCTTTCAAACCCTTTCTGAAAAAATCAGGGTCTCTGTTCTTCCTTTTATTCTTCCCTCTTACTTATGTTGGTGGTTTTCTGTGTTACTTGTCTTTTTATCCAACTGTGTTACTTGAGAAGGCAAGTCTGTATGTATGAAATTATTCAGAAAGGCCAGAGAGATTTTTTTTTTTCTGTAGAATAAAATAATACTGGATAACATGTTGGTATGTGGAGAGTCTATTTCTTTTTTTAAAATTTAATCTTTACTGTATTTTTTTCCTTCCCCCCCCCTCCTCCCAGCAATCACCAACGTTGTCCACGTCCATGAAGACTTTTTTTCCTTTTTGCTCAATCCCTCTGACCCCAACCCCACCATCCCCCCCGCCCCAGCTAGCTGTCATCTGCTCTCAATCTCTGTGTCTGTCCCCATTTTCCTTATCAGTCCAGTTCATTCATCAGATTCCACATATGAGTGAAATCGTACAGTATTTGTCTTTCTCTGACTGGCGTATTTCACTTAGCATAATACTCTATAGGTCAATCCATGCTGTCACCAAGGATAAAATTTTCTTTTTTACAACCAAGTAGTATGCCATTGTGTGAATGTCCCATAGTTGTTTTATCCACTCTACTGATGGACACTTGGGCTGCTTCCATATCTTGGTGATTGTAAATAATGCTGCAATGAACATGGGGGTACTTATGTTCTTTCAAATTTGTGTTTTGGATTCCTTCGGATATATTACTAGAAGTGGGATCACTGGGTCAAAAGGCAGATCGACTCTTAATTTTTTGAGGTATCTCCTGAAGAATCTATTTCTGTTCAATTTGTTGCGTTTTAGATGGTTTACAGTTGGTGACATTGGTTTCATCTTCCCGTGAAAAAAATTAATATTACAGTTTAGGGAGGACTTATGTTTTTAAATACATGAAAGTGGAATTAACAGCAAGAAAATAGCACTTTCACAAATTATTTATGATTGGAGACTGAGGTTACCAGAACTTTCAAAATTTTGTTGCTATACGGACATTGAAGTGTGCAGCCTACTTGATTTCACCACTGGCTCTACCCTGGAGCCCCAGGGGACCATGATCATTAGCATCTCTGAGCCTTTCTTTCGTCTGTGGAGAAGGTGAATGGTCTTGTAGTCATGGGCCTGTGGAGATGGAGTGAAGCTTTAAGGTCATGCACTTAATGCTCGCAGCAGTGCAGCATGCCTGGCAGAGCTCGGTCAGTGCTGGACATTGCGATTTCCACCCAGACACCCCTTTGTCCTGCCCCATTCCGGGAAATCTAGTCTCGTGTTAAGGTCACCTTGAGCACCAGGAGGCCCAGTAAACTTGCTTTGGGTAATTTCCAGCCTAAAGTCAGCTGTAAATTGTGTTTGCTCAGTTACCTATACATTTATATCCATTAATTTTTGAATGTATGATTAACTTCCTGCAGTCATATTGCTGAACAGACTACACACATCTTATTTACTATTTCCAAGAATTGCGTAAGGTGTTTATTTAACAAACACTTAGTAGAATTTACAATTGGCCAGACATTGTTTTAAGTCTGTCCAAATATGAAATCATTTAGTTTTCATAATAACCCTTTGAGGGTGACAGAGGCAGGTACTATTGCACACTCCATTTTGCAGGTGAGGGGACTGAGGCATGGAGAGGCCCAGTCACATGCCCAGGGTCACAGTCAGCATGTGGAGTTCAGGCCCAGACAGTCTCATCCGGAATCCATGCTTCCCTGACCCACGGCTCTTATGTATGGGGTTGGACTCCAGACACCTCCCTTCCTGAGGCAGGGAGCCATGCTACATTTTTTGGAGAGTCTTTATTTCAAAATGTAAAATGACCTCCTTCTATCTTTTTTTAAATTTTTTTTTTATTTTTAAATCATGTTTATTCTATTACAGTTGTCTCAATTTTTCCCCTTTTACCCCCCTTGCACCCATCCCACCCCCACCCCCCCACTCCCACAGTCAATCCCCACTCTGTTGTCCATGTCCATGGGTCATTCATACATGTGCTTTGTCTAGTCCCTTCCCCTTCTGTCCACCATTGTTCTCTTCCCCCCTCCCCACTGGTCACTTTCAGTCTGCTCCATGTTTCTGTGCCTGTGGTTTATTTTGTTCATTAGTTTATTTTGTTGAATAGATTCCACTTATAGAGGAGGTCATATGGTATTTGTCTTTCACCAACTGGCTTATTTCACTGAGAATAATATTCTCCAGTTCCATCCATGTTGTTGCAAAAGGTAGGAGGCTGTCTGCCTGCCTTCCTTCCTCTCTCTCTTCCTTTCTCCCTCCCTCCCTCCCATTTTATTTATTTTTAAATGTCAAAGTCAATTATAAAATATTAAATATAAATATTTATATAAATATAATATAAAAAAATAAAACCATTATAAATTCTCAGCAATTAAAACAACATGGCACCAGCACAGAAATAATCAAGTAGATCAATGAAGTATAATGAGCATTCTAGAAACAAATGTATATATCTAACAATGTGATATATGATGAAGCTGATATTTCAAATCAATGGAGAAAATAAGGCTTAGTCAACAAATAAGGTGCATGGACCATTATTACTTGAAATAAAACAAATATAGAGATCTCCTTCTATCTTTACTTAGAGGTCTAAAATGAACCATGCTGCTTTGGTTTTTTTTGTCACTTTAATAAATGACCTCTTTCTGCTACTCGTGAAGTGCTGGGGAGTAAGGGCCCAGGGTCCTCGTTAAACATGGACTGACTAGGGGTTCTTGGCTCGCCCTGCCTGTCACACAGCGGTGTGAAGAGCAAATGGCAATCATGCAGGGGAAAGCGATGTGCTGGCCTGGCCTATAGCTCTTTGGGTTCAGGTGTTTTAACTGCTCTCCTGAGCGAGCAGGATAACGCTCCACCTTACATTGGTGATTTAATTGTGTTTAACATGCTGGGAAGCCCTGTCACCTTTATTAAGCTGTTTGAACCCCAGAACAGATTTGGTGTATGGTAAAAGCAAATGATAGTTTTACTTTTCAGATGAGAGAGAGGTCAGTGACCTGCTCTTAGTGAGTTTTTAACCAAACTTTCCTGGGACCCACATCTCCCAACAGTGCCACCAGCCGATCTGTTTCCTTCTGCCATTATAACCAAGTTTAATGCCTTAGTTTTTATAGCATAGGCCAGCTGGACTTTGGGAAAGCCACTATTTGGCAGAAAAGCGCCACCAATACATTTAAAAGCTGTGGTATGATGACTATAGGGGCTTCATCCAGATCTCCTATCCCCTCCTGAGGCCCGAGAAGTAGGTATTTCCACTGTCTGAGTGGCTCGGTGCAGCAGGAATGGGGGACCTCTGTTGTAGTTTGGGAGCTGCTAAGGGGAGAAAGCTCCCCATGATTGCTTTCACCCCCACTTGTCTACCAGGTATTATCAGAAGAGGGACCTGGTGTGAGGGGCCGTATATAAAGGGACAGGGCCCAACAACCCAGCTAGTCCTGAGCAGCTGGGATTCACTGGACAGATGACTTTGAGCCCAGTGGCTGTCACGTGTTGACCAACAGCGCTGGTGGGAACAACCCGTGTTTGGAAGATACATAGGAAAAAATTATCTCTGTGTTCCAGGGTTCTCTGAAACCTGCTTGTTGATGGCCTGGAGGCTTTCACAAGAAGCCAGTTGTTTGTTTGTTTGTTTGTTTTTAAATAAATCACTTTGTATTGGAAAAAGTAGTTTACTACAGAAATTGTTCTCTTAAGCCCTTCCCATGGAAGGTGCACAGTCCCAGCTGTCTGATACGGTCATTCTGAAAAGCTGCCAGTCACACTGTGTGGAGGGGAGCAGAGCTGCCCTCAGCATGCGGTGGCAGTCTCGTTTGCCTGGCTTTGTGGCCCAATGGTTGTGCCTAGCAAGTGTGGATCTACAGAGTGGTGTTTGGAAGAAAAGGGAGGGGATGGGGTGGGGCATCGTGGGGCCTGTGTGTGGCCGGAGGCACATTGAGCTGCGGGGCTGTGGGGCTGTGGGGGAGGATGTGGATCAGCACCGGATGTGACTGTTCAGCTGTGTGTTGATATGGGGCAAGTTTATTCTGTTTGTTTTTCCTTTCCTTAAAGAGACTGTTAGGATTTAATATTGTGTGTGGTTATTTCTCAGCTTCTGAACATGTTTGCTTTTTGATAGCCCCGCTGTAGGAGACAGGGAGTGTGGGGCTGCAGGCAGGAGGGCATTCTGAAACATACCTTAACCCTTTTCCTTGGACAGCCTTTCTCAGACAGGTCGAGGGGCTGGCAGAACATTATGTAAAAAGCAGAACCAGCTTGGCTTTTCCTAACTATTCCAGAGACTACCAATACCTCAGAGCTGCAAATATGTAGGCCTGCACACTCAGACCTGTGTTTCTCCCATCCTGCTCCAAGAGATCAGAAGTAAGCAGTGGCCTCTTAGGAATTCTGCCAGCTGGGGCGGGTGTCTGGCTTTTCTAGCACAGTTGAACGATTCACAGTGGAATAGGCTGGGGAGGCTCTGGGAGCAGGCCTGTGTTAGGGCCGAGAGAGAGGACAAGCTGTTTTTTTCTTGGAGTGCGGATGAGTTGGTGAGATGGCTGGCTTTGCCTGTGCTACTGCCAGCTGGACGCTTTGCCCACAGATGTGGACTGTTTATCTGTGGGTTTACTGTCTTTGTTTTCTTTTTTTCCTAGGACAGGGTGGGGTGAAGGGCAAAAAACTAAAAATTGGTTAGTAAGACAGGAAAGCCAGCAGGGGAAGAACTGACTTCCCTTAATTGCTAAGAATGTTGAAGTCATTTCCCAAAATTAGTCCTTACTCCTAAATTCTCTTTCATGCCTCAATATGGAATGCTTTACATAATGCCTAGCAGTTATAATGGGTTTCAATGGTATCTTAAGGTTATTGCCTTTGAGATGCTTATATAATCTACTAAGGTGGAGAGGGGAGGAAGGGGACAATTGTGAGACAACTATACATAAGCATTTAATTAGACACCACAAGCAGAACTAAGAGTACAGGAGGGTTATTGGCCAGGGAATGCTCTGTAGAAGACTTGACAAGTGGAAAGTTATTTTAAAGATGGAGATGGAGAGAGAGTAAAGAAGTGAGGACTTTATCTGTGAGCATGCAGGGCTTACCAGAACTACTCTCTAGGGCAGTTCCTGTTTCATCTCTTAACCCCTGACATGCCTGCTGGTCATGTCAGCCAAACAGGGTGAGAGATTGTTCGGGCCCCCTTTTCTCCTTTTTGCCTCTCCCTCCTTTAACTAGATTGACTAGAACAGAGGAGCAGGAAGAGGGAAAATTCATTACAGTAGGCTTTATACTTAGTTTGGTATATACTGTAAGGGTGGGAGCCTGAATCAATCGATACTTTTTTTTAACTTCACAAATTGTGTGTGAAGTTAAACACACACACACACACACACACACACACACACACACAGTCTCTCTCTCTCTCTCTCAAAAAACTTGGTGACTGGCTTCTTTGTGCTTAGCATAATGTTTTCAAAGTTCAATCATTTTTGGTACATATTGTAGCATGTATCAATATTTTGTACCTTTTTATAGCTGAACAGTATTCCATTGTAAGGATATATCACATTTTGTTTATTCATTCATTCGTTGATGGGCATTGGGTTGTTTCTACTTTTTGACTGTTACGAGTAATGCTGTTTTGAACATTTGTGTACAAGTTTTTGAGTGTGTGTTTTCATTTATCTTGTATATACATTTAAAAATAGAATTGCTGAATCATACGATAACTCCTTTAACATTTTGAGGAACTGCCAGGCTGTTTTCCACAGCGGTAACAATTTTCTATTTTGCATCTGAACCACATATTACTTATCATCTGTCTTTTTTATTTTAACCATTCTATTGGGTGTGAAGTGGTATCTCACAGTGGTTTTGATTTTCACTTCCCTGTGATTAATGGTGTTGAACGTGTGTTCATGTGTTTATTGGCTTTGTGCATATCGTCTTTAGAGAAATGTCTGTTCAGATCCTTTATCTATTTTTAAATTGGGTTATTTGGTTTTTTATTATTGAGTTTTAAGAGTTCTTTATATATTCTAGGTATTAAACCCTTATCAGATAAATGATTTGGAAATATTTTTTTCCCATCCTGGGGATTGTATTTTCACTTTTCTTGATAGTGTCCACAAAATATTTCAGTTTTGATGAAGTCCTGTTTCTTTTTCTTTCATCACTCTGTTTTTTTGTGTTCTAAGAAGCCATTGTCTAGCCCAAGGTCATGATTTCCTCCTGCTTTCTTCTGGGAATTTCATCATTTTAGCAGTTACATGCAGGCTTTTTGATCCATATTGAGTTATTTTTTGTGTGCTGTGAAGAAAGGGCCTATGTGAAGTTGTCTCAGCACCATTCATTGAGAAGTTCATTCTTTCCCTGTTGAATTATCTTAGCACCCTTTTTGATAATCAGTTGAACATAAATGAGTGAGCTCATTTCCTGGGTCTCAATTCTGTTCCATTGATCTGCAGGTCAGGATCAGTATTTTGAAAGCTCTTCAGATGATTCCATGTACGTTTGGGGCTGAGACCCATCTGGCTGGGATAGGGACTTTGGTTGGTTCGATTGGCAGGGAGCACAACACAAGATTGCTGGAGTGCTTTATTACAGATACATGGAACATCTGTTCTTAACTAAACCAGTGTTTTTCAAACTTGCGTGATAAAAATCACCAGGGGTGCTTATGAATAACAGATTTCTGGCCCTGTGCACTGGGGAGAGAGGGCCTGGAAACGAGTGGAGAGGGGACGTCTTTGCCTACGGCCTGTGATTTGGGCTCTTCCACATGGACCTGTCTCCCCTGTCAGTTGCCAGTTGATTAGAGCCTTCAGGGATCTGTATGTGTAATAAATTCTCCAGGTGGGTGTTATGGTCAGGGAACTGGGGTGGTGCTAGATCTGCGAGGCCAGACCAGTAGAAGTCTGCGTACCCAGATCATAGCCCTTCCATGGAATTGCTGTTCCCAGGATACTCAGGGGGTGAAGCCATAGCTCTTCCTTAAGGAAGATGACAAGAAACAGCCCCCATGAAACTTCTTGCTCTTTCCTGGCCACCTTATTTAATATTGCCTCCTGCCATATACACACAGATATTGTTTACCCTTGTTTCCTCCCCATCTGCCTTGTGTACATTATTAAATTTCCCTTTTCAAGAATATTTAACTTACCTTGTCTACCCCACTAGATTGAAAATTTCATGTGAGAGGGGATTTTTAGTTGACTGCAACATCACCAGCACCAAGAACAGTGCCCGGTACATTGTAGGCATTCGGTAAATATTGCTTAAGTGAATGGAAGGATGTTGTTGAAGCCGAGGAATGAAGAGAGAGACCTGTGTTTTGGGATCAGCAGTAGTTGTTCTGCTTGGTTTTACCGCACGAAGCTGTGAATCAACTGCATGTTTCTCTCTTTGCAGGAGCCACTCAAATAGCGCCATGTTTATGTCCACTGTAACAAGCGTGTAGGACAAAACTTCGTGTCATGTACTAACCTCTAACTTTATGTAATTCATCTTGTTGTATTGTGTGCATCCCTCCACAAATAATCCTCTTTGGAGACTGATAGGCTATAAATAACTATGACTTAATCAGCTTTGGTGAAAATTTCTTAATTTTGGTCACTCTTGATCTGGGAAATTAAAAGCTTGGGTTCTAGGTGAGAGGAGTTTTTCCAAAATCTAATTCCTCTTTCATTCCTCCCTCTTTTTTTTTTTAGGATAGAATTTTTGCGTCATTTGAAGAGCTTTTTCCAGATTATGTTTAAAATTGAAACCAAGCCATGCGGTGAAGAACGCAAGGGCGGGGATAAAGTGCTGATGACCTGTGTCGGCATTGGCTTCTCCAACCTTAGCAAGACCCTCAAGTGATACTGTCACAGGATAAAAGGCCCTAACGCCTGCAGACAAAGCAGAAGCTGCCAAGGACCCAAAGGGGGCCAACTCCAAATTCATCAGGACAGGATAGCTTCTTACATTAAAGCATTTTTAGGTTTTCCATTTAAAAACAATCAGAATACCCAAGGAAAAGACATATTTATATCATGTGGTTTCCAGCCATTTCTCCAGTGGTGTTGACATTCCTCAGGAGGCCCTGTAGTGACGAGAGCTGCACAGCTTTCCTGGACACAGAGCGTGCCTCCACGACACAGCCGTCCTGCTAGGCGGACACCGCAGCTACATTTCAGCAGGGCTTCCTCAGCCCGCATCCCGGGGCTCCTGCCGTGCAGCCCTGTTTTCCAGACCCTGTGGCATCTGTTACTGTTCTTTCTGCAAGGACTGACCTCTGAACCTTGGTTTCTGTGTAAGGGTTAAAGGAAATAATACCATTGGAAACTCTTTACAAGCAGTGCAGTGTTATGCAAGTTTCAGAAAATGGTACATTAGACTATTTCGTTCCTTGTCTTTGGAATGGACCCTGTTATCTCGGAGACAGATTCTGCTCCCTGCCTGGTTCATTGTATTTGTATGTGGGGGATAAGTGCCTGGGAAGGGCAGGGGTCCAATTAAAGTTATTGGATATTTTCTGTATCTCAGGTGTGCCATACATTTTTTTTATTTTATTCTCAGTAATCTTGCGATGTAAATTTTATCTCCACAAGAAAATTTTAAAAGGATATTTTGTTCCTTTTAAAGATTAGATCTCCTGATTTAAAGATGGAATTGTAATAGTGTGGAATTTTACCTATTGGTGAGTAAGATTATTACTGTTTCATGGATGCTAGCAGAAGACAAGAGAATCCTGTCAGAGACGATGAACTTTGTTACGCGGAGCACAAGAGCGAGCAACAAGAGGTTCTTGTTTGTATTGGCTTCTCCTGTTTCTCCCACACTAGTGACCTGGGGCGGGGGGCGGGGGGTGCCAGGCAGATTCCAGGCATGCAGTGGGTTTGCGTCACAGCCAAGGAACATGCATGCTTGGGGACTCTACCCCTTGTAGCATGACTGCTCTTGCTCCAGATGAGAACCTCACTTCATCCCCCCAGACTGCTTGCCGTGAACACAGTTATGAGAAGGGATACAGGTAAAGGCCTCCCCAGCAATAATGTACAAGAACACAGGATTGTGTGTACGGGCTTGGAGTTGGTAGAAGGGGGAAGATCTCATTCTACTAGAATTCCAAATGGTCTTCTCCACCTGAGGTGGGCTTTTGAAGTATGTAAAGTCTTTGTCTCCTCAGTCCTCTTGATACGCTTTTCTTTTTCAGTGAAAGGGGCCTGAGGAGGTCTATGCTCTTACGAAGGGGTGTGGGAGGATGCAGAGACGACGGCTAACATTGAAGAAGTCCAGACATTGGGAACTGCACTCTACTTGCAGAGAGCTTTACCTGCTGTATAGTTTCTGTTGCTGCATAACAAATCATCGCCAACTTAGCATCTTGAAACAATAACCCATTTATCATCTCACAGTTCTGTAGGTCGGGGGTCCTGGTGGGCTTGCTTAGGTTCCCTGCTTAGGGTTTCAAAGCTGATGTCAAGGTGTCAGCCAGGCAAGGCTCTGGGAAAGAATGTGCTTCCAGTTCATTCAGCTGGCAGGATTCAGGTTGTAGGACTGGAGTTCATTTCTGGCTGGCTGGGGACAGCTCTCAGCTTATAAGGGCTGCACACGTTTCTCACAACTTGGTTCACTTGCCCCTTTAAGCCAGCAATGGTACATCAGATCCTTCTGTTGCATCGGGTTTTGCACGTGCTTTGAATCTGACTTCCTCTTGTGGTATCAACTGAAGAAAACATTGCTTTTAAATGACTCATATCACAGTCCCACCTGGATAATCTCAGTATCTGAAAGTTGCTTGAACAAAACAGAACCTAGATTAGTGTTTGAGGAGCCATGGGCTGGAAATTTTGGTCAGTCAGCTGAGAATTTTGCATACCGCACATGCTGCAGTCCTATTTCATGCTGTCGCTGGTTGAACCCAGATCTTCCAACGCTTGGATACTGAGACACATGTTGAATACTATTCCACAGGAGCTTTCTGTCTCTCAAGCTGTGGGAATGGTACTGTTGGTCAATTTAGGGTGGCATGTAGACTCCAGGCAGATGATCGCAAGCAGTAGAAAGTATGCATGCTCCTATCTGCTCTAAACACAGAAGAGTCTTTTGGCTTCCAGCCTTCCATCTAGCACAGCTGCTTTTGGAGTAGGAACATCTGGCAGTAGTGGGGATGATACTGCCAAAAGGAGAATAAATTTAATGTTTATTTAAACAGCCTGCTTCCAGCCCCTTTTCTCAAATGCCCAAGAGAAATAATACCACTTCTAGGGAAGACGCCATCCTGTGCAGGTTGCTGGTACATCTTATTGACGTTAAGCTCCCATGGTCTCTGCCTTAGCTTAGCTTAGCTCCTGATTGGTCTGGCTACCCTGGGGTAGTTTGATGGGAGATCAGCATTTTGGGCTTGGTTTTCTGCCGTGGCTTGTCTGTTCCCCTCGACAGAGAGAGACCTCTCTGAGATAGACCCCTTAATAAAACCAGTGATACATTTTTTTTTTAAGCCTGACTTTATTGAGGTCAAGGCAAAATCATTGCCTTTGCCTTATCGTCATTTACCAGGCCCTGTTTTTGCCTTTCAACACCCTTCAACTACATTCTGTGTAAACACCAGCCATCAGCCTCCATCGTGATTATTTTACCATATTTGTCAGGACAGTTGATAGAAGGTGGGAGGAAGCCAAGGTATTGCAACATGACATGCTGATGGGGAAAGAGCAACAGGAAGGCTTTGCTGAAATCCAGATTGCCCTCATAGGACAGCAGGCCTTCCTGGGTTTTTGTTGTTTATTTGTTTTGGTTTTTGTTTTATCTTTTCTGATAAAAAGTGGTGAAGGACATCACTGATTACAGACCCAACAAAAAGAAGCCAACACTTAAGTTGCACCACAGTGCCTGTCCTTTCACTGTCACTTTACCACAAAAGACCACGAGGTGGCTATTTTCCTTTAGGCCTACTGTGTTGGGAGACTCCCAGGAGAGGCCCGGGCTGGTAATTAATTGTATCGTGACTGAGGGGAAGAGTTGACAATGCTAAAGGTAGGAAAAGAAGTAGGCAGGATGGAAAAGAGAGGCTTGAAGAAGTGGATAAAATCAAAAATACATGGATAAAAGGAAGCACCAGGGAAATACATTACCCCAGTTTTGGCTGTGCCCAAGAGATTCACCTGAGTGAGGCACGGGGACGGACCAAGGAGAGGTGAAGAAATGCATTTCCTGGGGGCCTTGGTCGTGGTGAAAGGATAAGAATGTTGGCTTCCATTGAATGTCCTGTTGGGATCTCATTGGAGACCTGTGCAGGTACCCATGGGCAATTTTAGCCAGGCTGTGATGAATGGAAAAGCAGCACCACAGGCTCAGCCCAACCTGGAGCTCCCTTGCTCCTTACCTGGCCCCGAATGGAGGAGAAGTAGTAACTTGTTCTTAGAGTGTCCATGTGCAGACAACCATGGCCTGTTTTACAGAAGTGACTAATAGTTCGTGGGAATACCAATAGGCAAGACAGGTCTTTTTGTACTCTAGTTGGCTAGCTCTAAGAAGACGTTTGAGTGGAGCTATTTACCAATGTTTGGCATCTTACGGAGGCCAAACCACATCATTCCTTTACTCAAGCAAATAAAACCTGCCGTTTTGTCAGGGCCTGCTTGGGTTTGGGGCTGCTTTCATTCTTCATCACATCTGGCCCACACCTGTCAGATAGTCTGACCCCCAGCCTGAGACGTGGGCCTTGAGGCAGCCCCGTTGACGGGCCACATCAGGGTTTTTCTGGTCCTTCCAATGCTAGTGGTTCTGGATGTGCATCCTGCTCTGCTGAGACCCTCCTTTTGGGTCTGCAGAGGAGGTGATGGTCATCGCAGTAGGTGAGGCACAGCTTGCTTTCTGGCCCAGCTCAGCTACTGACCAGCTGCTGTGACATTAAATAATTCGCCTCTCCACTCTTGGGTTTCCTCTCTAGATCTGGGGTAGATGGTGTGAGATGGTGCCAGAAAAATAAGGTGCCCCACATTGCCTTTTCTACCCCTCCCCATTCTGAGATGTTTATTTGGGGCGAAAGGAAGGTTAGTTGGCAGGAATATTTTTTAAACGTTGAGATGTTTTCTCTGAGGTCTCCGGGCACTCTATTTCTGCATTTCCTCCCCATTCCTAAATATTCATATTGATTAATACTTTCTCCTATGATTTGGGGAATGTATATTCAAATTGATGAAAGTAGGTGAATTTCTAGAAACCAAAGGCCAATTTAAAGACAAAGTGAACCAGCCCAGCAATAATACACGCAGCAACTCCCTGTCACGTGGCCACAGGAGCGGTGGCACTGCTGTTGGGCTCTCTGGTGGCCATTTGGCAACTCTTTTCTGTCTTAGGAGAAGAGGTTGTTCCAGAGGAAGGGAAATGGAGAGGCACCTGCCTCTTCCTGCTGTGTCTGGGAACGGTAGGACATTTGGAAGCTCTTTCTGATCTTTAAGGGGAGGTATTGAGAGGGTGGGGGGACGAGGACTATATATTTTGAAATGGTCCTGGCTTGCGACATGTAGGGATCCCATATTAGGTCATGACAACCCTCCTCGGGCTATTTGAAATGTCGAATGTGCTTAGTTCCTGGACCTTCCCACATACTCCTCTGTGATTTCTCTACTTACTGTTTTACCTGTTAGGCAATTAAAGGCACTGTGCCTAAGATCTGTAAACTTTGAAAAACCAATAAAAATGTTTGCAACAAGAAAAACAGTACTGGCTCCAAATTATGCAGAGAAGAGCAAAAATAATTAAATATTCACAAAATGAAATACTTCCCACCTTAATTGTTAGAATATTGAAAACAACACAGGTAAGGATTTTTCTCTTTATAAGCATTTCCAGGCCCATGTAATTGCCAAGGAATCATAGTTAATCATCTATTAAATGAGTCGCCGGTCAAGCAATTTAAAAGGCAAAGTTATAAAAAGCACTTCGGAACTATGAGATGTGGCTATAACTTATGGTTTGATAATGTCATTAAGAAACCTAGAGAGTGAAACTGCGTGCTCCCCTCACTGAGCCTCCGTGCTGGTCTTAAAGCCTTGGCAGTTACACATTCTCATCGGCCTCTGGGTGCCTCCTGTATGTTAGCTCCCACCACACTCAGCTATTTTGTAATCCTCCTTCCTGTTAACCTATGATGGTATGAATTGGGTTCATCTTTTAAGGTTTGGTGTAGCTATGATTTTAAAGTTGTTTTTGAAAGCTGCTGTTTTTTATTTGATTTTTATTTATTAATTTTAGGGGGAGAGAGAGAGACAGAAACATCAATTTGTTGTTCTCTTATTATGAATCCGTTGATGGATTCTTTGTGCCCTGACTGAGGATCAAGCCCGCATCGTCAGCATATTGGGATGACACTCTAACCAGCTGAGCTCCTTAACCAAGTCTGCTTTTGGTTTCTTGAGTGTTGGTAGAGCATTGTGGAAGTAACACAGGGTTAAGAATGAGACTTATGTTTGAATCCTAGCTGTGTCAGTAGATAAATGGCATTTGGCAGGTCCTCCATCTGGGATTTGTTTCCTCATCTGCAAAATGGGGAAACTATCATCCACTCTGGTATTGAGCGGATTTATGAAACATAATGGTTATGTATTAAATGCTTAGGATTCTTTTTAACTGTTTAATCCCTGGTGGGGATTCAAAGCAGTCTCCTGCCTAAAAGGTTAATGTCAGCATGAGTTACAGAGTATATATTTACATCTGGTACTTGTTTCTGCTAAGAGGCCAAAGACAAGATGTGGCACCTGCATGCGTGTTGGGGTAAATGGCCCCATGCCAAACGTTACACAGTAAAAAGGGCCTACAGGCATCTCTGTGTAGCTCACCATGTTCCAACAGGATCCATCCACTGAGGGTGAAGTGAACGGGCAGGGCTACCTCAGGGCTGTCAGATCCCAGAGCCACTGTGTGTACAAACCAAACCGAGGATCTGCAATATCATCAGACTACAACATAGTCCACAAGTACAGTGTAAAAAACTACATTGTTATTAGAAAACTCCGCATCTCTCAGCTCTGCTTTCTTCAGTGTTCTCTTCCTTCCCCAGCACTCTTTGATGATTTTGGGTTCTGGTCTCTCCTTGGATGGTAGTGATGTCAGCCTCGCCCGATCTTAAGGATTAAGAGGTGATTTCCAAAGGAAAAGCTGAAGCTTTTACAAAGAAGAGAGCAGACACTGGTAAGGCAGAAGCAACAGTAGTCCACTGCAGGTTACATTACCTAATTCCCTGAATATTCTTGAGAGCATGTTCCCACGAAACTGCGTGCCCACCACCATCTTTCACCATCCAAAATGTTCCCCGCATTAAAGTATAGAATTGGGCAGACAAGGATGAATTCAATTCAACAAATGGTGCCTAACAAAGGTAAGGTCTGTTTAGCGCCGGGTTCCCCACAAACGTGCGGTGCATGCAAATCCTTGTGTGGAGGGCTGACTTTCAGTAGATTGCAGCGAGGGAGCTACTCTGCTACTTATGAAACCGCAACCCAGAAGCAGATCATCTACAAAAGGTTTAGTGCAAAGGTAAGGCCTTTGTATCGAGAAGACCAAGGTTAATATGGACACCGGGCAAAAGTTCATCATTTTAGCCAGTGGTATTGTTGAGCTAAAAGTGGGAGCATACCCAGGACAATAACACTGGGAGGAGAATCGGCCATGACCAGGTCTGGGTGTGAGAGCACCTTGTGTTGTGGGCCAGTGGGGAGAGTAGGTGGCCAACCTAAAGGGAAGGGGGAGTCTCCATGCAGTGTCAGCTGGTGCTCTCCATTGGTTCTTCCTTTCCCAGCCTGGAGAAGCAGATTCTGGAGTGGGGGATGGAAATGAGAACTTGCTTCCAATTCCTAGAATACAAGAATTAAAATGATAACAGCACAAAAGCTACCTATGGAAGAGCAATGAAGACATGTGAGTATAAGGGATGACAAGGTATTTAGAATGGGAACATGATATTTCTCTTATTTTCAAATAATTTGTACATTTTGATTTTAGAGTTTTATTGTATATAATATGCACACGTGTGCACACACATGCACACGTACACACACACACAAGCGGGATCAAAACACCCCCCTGGAATTTATAAAACATTGTGTATTCTTACATGTTTAAACTTCAGTAACCTTCAAAGTACTCTCCACTTGATGCAATACACCTATTGAGGTGTTTTTTCCACTGCTCAAAACAGTTTTTAAACTCATTGATTTTGATGGGTTTTAGCGTTTCTGCTGTTTTTTGTTTCACCTCTTCTACACTGGCAAATGTTTCCTTTTGAGGATTTTTTTCATCTGGGGAAACAAAAATAGTTGCTTGGGGTGGCAAATAGAGAGGGTGGGGCACAGGGTTATGCCATCTTTGGTCAAAAACTGCTGAACACTCAGCATAGTGTGGGCAGGTGTGCTCATTAAATCACCCATCATGAAATGGGCAAATATGTTGGAAGAGTTTTCAGAAAAATTCACAGAAGCTGCACACAGCCTCTCACACCACCACCAGCTGGTACGCTGATACCGATGGGTTCCTAGAACATTCACCTAGTGGTGGAAGTCTGTACTACAAGAGACCCACCCTCCAGAAGATAATTCTGGTTTTTTGGAGTCCTCCCTTATACACATATACACTTACAGGTAAATGTGTGCATGTTTAGTTACGTTAAGAATTTCAGGTGCAACTCTTGTGATTCTCCGTTAGCTCCAAGGTAAGTAAAGATCAGGCATCCCCTCTGCCCCACTCTTCTGCATCTTTCTGCAAAGAAAGACAACACCCCCCGCCCCCGGCCCCACACACAAGTGACTTGTGATGTAGCTGAGGCGTGGGGACAGAGGTACCACCAATGGAGGGACTCTCGCGGGAACACCTGCCTATAATGCTGGATAAGTGCCTTAGGCTCCTGCACCTTGGCTCTCTTTGAAGGCTGGCAGCAAGACTAGGGGCCAGAGCACTGTGCTCACCTCCAGGGTAGAGCCCATTAGGTCCACTGCAGCGCTCCCCAGAGCATCGTGGCCCTTTCCCTGGAAAGGGCTCCATAAAGATGTAGACAGTACTGCAACCTGCGTCCGGACTTGCAGAATCACAATGTACACTAGCATAGTTCCCAGAAGTACTGAAGTCAAAACTGTTTAACCTACCACTTTTTAATCTGACTTGACCATGGAACTTTTTATACCCTACTCCCCCCTACCCACCTACAAAAGAATTGCATGTAGTGCTCTTAGTCAGCAGACCATACTCTAAGGAATCCTGGTCTAATAGGAGTTTTTAGGAAAAGATGAGCTGTTCCATTTTTTATTACAGTTTGTGTGAAGCCAAGCAGTTATGTGGAACCTGGTTGAAAATCCAAGCTCAAATCTAACTAACCCTTGCCCCAGCCCTATAGCATTGACTCCCCGACATTATGAACTTCAAATCAATGGCTACCAGCCCCACCATCTACCCTTTACTATCTACCCTTCTTGCCTGGGCTTCTAGGAATTGGAGGGGTCAGGTATGTGGATAAGCTGGGACTTTATTTATTTTTTTCATCATGTGATAATTACGATGTCTTCAGTTTCTTGAGAGTCACATTGTTTTCTTTTTGGCTCAGAGCCAAAACGTGGCAGTAGCGCCCACTTGAGCTCTCAGCAAGAAGAGGTCAGAAGATGTATGTAGTTCTATTGTCTGGGTGTGGGAGGAGGGGGGGACCAGGGAAAGTGCTAGAGCGTTGTGGAAGCTTAATCTAAGTCTTAGTAATGGGTCAGGAAGAAACCCCTGGAAATGGGGTATCATGGAGAAATGGTTGGCCATACTTCTTATGCCAAGCATGAGCCCCCAAACAGCTGGATTTTCAGAGAACTCTGACCAGCGCACCATCTGCCAGCAGTTACCACCAAGATGCAAAGACAGGGTCCTTGAGGCAGTGAACCTGGGAATGGAAAGAGGGCTTGGGCTTTTGAAATGGGTTTTGAAAAAGAGACACTTGCCCCCTGGCTGGTGTGGCTCAGTGGATTGAGTGCTAGCCTGCGAACCAAAGAGTTGCCAGTTCAATTCCCAGTCAGGTCACATGCCTGGGTTGCAGGCCAGGTCCCCAGTTAAGGGCGTACAAGAGGCAACCACATATTGACGTTTCTCTCCCTCCCTTTCCCTCTTCCTAAAATTAAATTTTTTTAAACCTTAAAAAAAAAAAAAGAAACTCTTACACTTAAGACAAGCCCTTGCCACTCTTATTTCTCTGCTGATGGGCTTTTCCAGAAAAGAATCTGCCCAAATACGCTCTGGGTATCTCCTTTAAAATGTAGAACTTAAAATGGGTGCTTTTTTAAAGCTGTATGTCAGTGATTTTCACCCAGTGTACTGCAAGAATTTTTAAAACATGCAACACCTGACTATTCAGGGGCACTGACTTCTTTTCCCTTAAATTGTTTAAAAAATGACAACAGCCAACACAATAGCTGTCTGACATAAATGAATCAAAATTATACCTACTTTTTGTCAGATCAACAAAAAATACGTATTTTTTTGTGGCCACAGAATTTTAGCAGTTAGTTTAGGTATGCCATGAGATGAAAAGGTTGAACCTCACTGCTGTACATCAAGGATAAATAAACTTTTGCAGTTCTTGACAATCTGAGTAGGTGCTATTTGCGGTTTTGAGTTTTGTCTTTTGGGAGTTCAGATGGTGAAATAGCAAGAAAGATTCAATGAGAGACATGCATTTGCGACCCCAGTTAGGAA